GAAAGGACATTCTTTGATGTTTGATCTTTGTATACTTTCAAGCCTAATCAACAATAAAGATTTACTCTGTAAAACAGATAGCAGCTAACAAGCAAGCTCTAAATGATGTCTAGGTGTTAGAAAGGCAAATTACTGGTTGGCCTTGTTAAGGTTTAACATGCTCTAATGATCTCAGACATAAAGGGAGAATTAAACAAAACTTGGGAAGAAGAGTAAACCACAAAGAATGCATTATTTATGGACCACAAGGACAGTAGAACATCCGAGAYAAGGAAAAAACTAATAAAACCAACTYAGCAACTGTGCTGAATCAGCTCCAGCTGGGTAAGAGGTAATTCTGGCAGGGGAAGATCTGCAGCCACCRACCCAGGAAACCCACTGATTCAAAAAAGGGGAAAGACTGAGCACACAGACAAATTAGCATGAGAAGCCAGAGAATGATTAACCAGTATAGAACAGAATATACTAGAATATTAATTAATAAGAAAACTATGCAATTTATGCCATTAACATGAATGCCTTTGTTTGGTAAAATATATACAAATAGTAGTTGGTGTACTTTACTTGTGTTACATCTGCACAATAAATTTTTTCATCTTAAATGTGTTACCACTTAAATGTGTTATCACAGAGGTGTTACCACCACTCTGGATTGACCTAGCCTTGGTGAGCAGCAGGTCCATCCTGGAGCCACCTGGCATTGGCTCTGCTGGACACTGGGCAATTTCTGGCAGCTTCTCACAGATGCCACCCCTGTAGCCACTCCCAGCCCCCAAAACCTGGCCACACAAAGCTCATACAAACCTAAGTAAAATACATCAGTAGAGCAATCACTGAGGCCATCACCATCTTTCTTCTGCTTTTGTCAGACTCCAGAACTAATCTTTTGTGGTGAAATTCCCATATTAGCATCTAAATCTTTTTWAAAGAGATTAAGTGTTAAAAATCAACAAAGTTGCCAACCAACCTTTGGATCTTTGAGCTGGGATCTTCATTCATATGTAATTCAAAGGTATTTGTGCTGCACAGGACAATAATGTACACCCTCAGGGTGCACCAGTGGTTTCATGTGGAAATGAACCTGTATTTGTCTCGTCTGGGTCTGATTAAAACGAAATGTTTGCAGGGTTCACTGAAGGATAATTCACTGCCTAAGAAGGCAAAATTAGCATCTTGATTGTCATGGTTAAACACAAAGGTCTTAAAAAATATTATTTTAAAAAACCCAACAATTCAGCTTTGTGACGGTAGATTCCTTTCCAGTGTGTGAAGATTTATCCTTGTATCTGTAAAAATTTGTGAATGATACTCAGGGCATCATTATGAAAGGAAAAGAAAATATGATTSACTGGCTATTAGGTGAAAGGAATTTAGAGTCAACTGAATGGTGATCAGCCCTCAATGACAATTCAGGGGTATGTTTCCAAATACTTCCATGCTTTCCAGAATCTGGGTCTCTTTCTGACGTTTTCACTGAAGAGCAGCAAAAGAATAATATGTCCTAGACTATTAAGAAAGAAAAACTAATACCAATCTACCTCTTCAGTAGGGCTCTCCATAAGATTTTGGCAGAAGATGCTAAGGGAGAATGGACCAAAACTTTCAAATTAAAAAAAATAATCATCTTCTAACATGCACTTTTAATTGATTTCAAAAATTGAATTTTGAGATTTCTGTGTCCACTGGCTGCTCCCTCATCTGAATCTTCTTGGATTGCTTAAAGCAAACAATTTTGCTCCGCTCTTGTTATAACTGGAAGAATAACTGACCATGGTCTGACTGCAAAACTTTGGTTCAGTAGATTTCAGCTAAGTTTGCTCAGTTCCGCTTAACCTCTAAGATTTCCACAATAAATTAAACAGAAAATATTAGCCCTTAAAGGAAAAACCCCTGCCCATCTTTAAAATAAATATTGATTTAAATGCTCAGAAAAGAAGTTTCATATTCTACTTAATCTTTGTAAATAAAATTCTTGCCTGAGGTGGATTAGAAATTTCATAAGCAAGGCTACTTATCTCCCAAATTATGTTAAATATTTGTATGCTCAAACAAATATCTCAAGAAACATTAACCTATTTTAAAGGTTTAAGAAATGCTGGAAGGCTTCAACATTCAAAGAACTAAGTGGCAGTAGATTATCAAAACATTTTCCCAATTAACTATTTTCCCTGAAGCTACTTACTATGCAAAAATGGATACAATTTTATTTTAGAATATTTTGTAAGTCTCTGAATCAAAAGTATTTCATCAGCATCACCCACAGTCTACCCAAAATGCTTTCTGCAAGGCAARTATTAGCTTATATTTAAATATAACTTTCAAACATAAAAAACATGAACTATTGAAGTAAAACAGCACATTTGCATCTAGAGGCTASAGTTTGTTCAATTGGATAGGGAGAAGTGGAAGTTTTTCTGACTCTTACTTACAGAATGAAAAAGGAAAAACTTTTGAAGTTTTTTATTGAACCTAAAAATCTCAACAAACTATCAACTAAAAAAACCAAAGATGCATAAACTACAACTGATAATCACATGTAGAAAAATAATTTTAAAGTGCTCAAAAATTTTAAAGTGCTTTAAATAATTTTAAAGTCAGCTTCGGAAGGGTAACTGATATGGTGTGTGCAATCACTTTCATTCAATAAATGTAGGTGTTTCCCCCCACCCCCATTCTCACAAGTGTCCAGATACACAAAAGAGAAGATCTATTCATACCTTTAGCTTGGTGAGAAAAAATTGTAAGCAATTTTGCTTATGTCCCACTGAAAAACTGAGGAGTGGAACAGTGTTGCTGCATTTATACAGCCCCATCAAGCTCCTGAGCTGGAATGAACACAGCAGTGCAGGGAGCAGATGACCTCTGAGGAGTGAAGCCCCACTGTCTCACCGCAGGACAAATATCACCCCAACCACTGCTGTTCACACACCTGCCTGTTATCACAGCAACCTGGGGCCAGGAGACCCGAAACTGCTGTTTTGTGAGGAAATTCCTGCTGACAAGAGGTTGTATGTTTGARTTTAAAAGACACTCAGAATAGTCAGAAGTTATCGCAGATCAAACATTCAAAGAAGAACTAGAGAATATAGTAGGGGAAAACTAGGAAAACAAAAGATTTGTGTTTTGGGGTAAATAGTAAGCTAGTACTTTTTTAAGAGTTATGTGAAAACAAAAGAGTAAGAGAGTCCATGGTTAAAAAAATATATATACATATAAAATTAGAGGTAAACTGGACACCTTTCTTTTAAAAACAATTAAGGAATAAGGACTTTATTAATTATTACATTGATTTTATTATTATGTAACCATGTAAATTGAGTATAACATGCTGCCATCATGGTTAGGTCCTAAAAACTTTATAAGCTATGACATGACTACTGAGTATCTCCATACGTGACTTGGACTTTTAGACAGCTTAGCGTATTTCAGATATTTAGAGGATGTACTGCTTGTCAGAATTTTACATAAATATAAAAAATGTTTGAGGCTTTTCACCTATTGAGAMTAATAACAGTAATATCAGTAACAATACTAATTATAATAATTTTCCTACCTCTAACAGAACTTAACAGCTGAACCAAAATGAAATAATCCATATTTGGAATCCTACAGCACACATAACTGTACACAGCACACATATTCTGCAATATACACCAGATATAGTGGTATCAATTACAAAAGATGGAGGTAGTATAATAATAACAACATCCTTTATTCAGTAGACCATTACTGATATATCCAGAATGTGGCAGACTGGGATCAGACTCTCCAAAGACAACATTAAGGCTTATAATTTCCATTGGCAGTGTGACAATTCCTTTTATATATTAGAATAGTCAGCAAGCAGACAGGGTATGGACAAAAATTATACTCTACACTTCTTGAAAATGTGCATTTGAATCCATGCAGGAGAATGAAAGCTCTTCTGGATGGCAGGTAAGCAGGTAMGTCATTGGTTATTGGATGAAATGGGGTAATCGTAGTGAGGTACTTTTCACCCTGTTTCATATCCATAGACATCCTTTTTTTTTTTTAGAAGGATACACCAGAAGGATTAACAGCTGTTTAAGATGCAAGACCTGGRCAACACACAAAAGTAGGTAAACCCCACATTAACAAATGCAGGAGATAACAGACCAGTGACAGAGACCAGGCCTCTGACTGGTCATTGAAAGAACCATTCTGTCCTCAATTAAACTAGAACTTTCTAACTGACGAGGGAAGAAGATAGTCACAAATTTTTCAGAAAAGAAAAGACTCACTACGGGGTATTGTAAGGTATCTGTATGATTGCGCAAAATGTGTTAGGGGATGTTTGGGGGAACTGGTGTGATGTAGGTACATTATAGGCGAACAAGGACAGGCAAATAGAGAGGCAGTGGGACATTGAGCAGTTAGTTGGTGAACACAAGCTGCCGGGCAGCACACCTGCCTCGCCAGCTCCAGCTCCCAGACAAGCYCCCGGTTCCGTCTCTGTGTGCTTCTCGAGAACTTCCAGCCGGGGAGCTTGGGAACAGGGCAAGAGATCTGGGATCCAGCTTGGCTCAGGGGGTCTGCACACTCCGGGCTCAACAGCCAAGCTCCCACGGGGAATAAAGGCCTGTACCAGGTATCGGAGAGACCCACCTGGGTAGGGCGGGGATGAGGGAGGGAGCCGCTCCCGACACCGTGAGGGCCGTGGGTGTCGAGACGGGCATTCCCGCCGCATGCCGCTCTACTCGACAGCGAAGGAGCACTCGCCTGCACCCCAAAGCCGCTGGAATGAGCTCCCCTGGCACACAGTGCACCACCAGTGGCATTCGAACGGAAAACCATCGGCACAAACATCAAACATAGAGCTTTAGCCAAGAAACTCCATTTTATTGCAGCTATGGCGAAAAAACGGTCAGCACTGATGCCTTACACTGTGACAGCTTAGGCCCCTTGAGAGCAAGCTGCAGAAGAYAGAAATTAAAAAATAAAGAAAAYGGATTTCTTACCAAAACCCAACTTCGCGTTACCTGAGGTAAGCGCTCCTCCCCAGGAGGCAGGGTGGCGCTGCCGCGGCGCGGTGGGCGGGGCGGGCCCCGCTTCCGGCCGGGCGCGGATGTTGCCGTTTGAATCGCCCGTCGGTTGGCGCGCGGCGCGGCCCGAGCGGTGAGTGCCGCCCTCGGGGCTCGGGACTCGGGACTCGGGGCTCGGGGCTCGGGGCTCGGGACTCGGGACTCGGGGCTCGGGGCTCGGGACTCGGGAGGGGAGTGCTGCCCGGCCAGCGGCACTGAGGGCCGGTGGGGCGCTCCGGGGGCCGGGCGAGCTCCGGGGCGGGAGGCGGGAGCCTTTTCCTTCCCCGTGTGGCAGCGTCCCCGCCCGTGCTTTGAGGCTCCCGCCGCTCGTATAGGGGCCGGAGCTCCGGGAGTAACTAAGCAAAGCGAAGATAGGCGCTCTCGCCTTCACGCTGGCCGGGAGACGGGCGGTATCCCGGGGCAGTGCGGCCGCGGCAGGGGACGGAGCGCACAGGACGTGCCGTGGCYCTTGTGCCGGGCAGGGGTGGCGGCTGAGCCCTGCGAGGCGCGGAGGGTGCGCGGCCGCCGAGCCGCCTTCAGTCGGGCTGCTCGGGCCCTGCGGGAGCGCTCCGCCCGGGCTGCGTGCGGGACGTGCGGCTGTTTCTCGGGGCACCGCTGGAGATGCCGCCGGCTGGGAATTCAGGACACACGGATGGGCTTCGGCAGAGTTCTTTTGTTCCTCTGCTGGGAAAGCGCGCGCCTGGTACCGGACCTCTTGGAGCTGGCTTTTTTTTATCTTATCAACTTCTAATTAAAAGACTACTGAAAGACTCCTAAAACGCTGTACAATCCGGGACAGTAAAAAGTTACAGAATTTAGCAAAATCTAAACGCCTACTCTGAGGGCTTTCCTAGCCTGTTTAGGCAAAGTAGATACGTTTTATTTACACCGGTTTTCTAGACACTGGGCGACAATGTGTTCCTGTCTTGCAAATAGGCAGGTGTGGAATTGCTTTGTTCCTGTGAAAAGCCCTATAGGACTTACAGGGCCCCTTACAAGGCCTCAGTGGTTGATCCCGCGTATCTTTTAAGTTGTAAATTTGAACTTTGGCTTCACTTCCCTGAAAGAATTTGAGAAAAGTAGAAGGAATTGCGGTGGGGGTGGTATAGGGTTTTTTGTTTTAGTTTTTTTTTGTGTTGTTTTTGTTTTGAGGGGTTTTTTATTTTCTGATTTGGTGGGGGTTTTTGGGTTTTTRTTTTTTTTTGCTTGAGCCCAGGAAAGGTGGGAAGATTGTTTTCTTGTTTCCAGCCAGATATGTGCTTTGTCGACCAGTAGGGCTTTTTACAAAAAAAAAATCCCGGCTTTTGTGGCCGTGCATAGGTAGTTTCTGTGTTGCATTACCGCAGGAGCTTGAGAATGATGAAACTTACAGTGACCATCCTCAGGAAATCTTGAAGGGAATGTGTGTGAGCTCTGCGCTTGTGTTTTCCTCTCTCTATACCTGATCAAGTATATTTACTCCTTTGTAATTTAGAAAAAAGGAAGTGCATTTCTGGGAAAACAGTAATAACTTAGTTCATCTCACTGTCAGTGCGGTGTCTTTTTAGGAGCCTCTTCACCTGGTTTATTTGCAGTGCTTTTTGGATTGTTTTTCTTTTAGACGACTTTATGGCAAATGTCTTTTGTGCAACTACTCTGGTTCTCTAAAAAAGAGCAGTGGCTTAGGGCAGTTGCCTTTTGCCTGAGACTTCTGCCTCCCTTTCTTTTTCTTTCTCAATATGCCTCTTTTCCTATCTCTCCAGTAAAAGTTTCAGTAGTTTGGATGAGCATAAAGTTTGCTCGTGAAGGTGATACCTGGCAGTCATCAAAACTGTAAATTCCAGACCACAGATAGCTCACAGTCTGTCAGGCTTCTGGTTTGGACCTTGGATTTGTTACTGGCTGCTTCCCTGCATGCTTCAGCATGTGAGAGGGAGTTGTGTACCCACATGAGATCTAGCCTGTGATTCTTGGCTTGCAGAACTTATGCAAKGCTTTCTTCAGCTTCTTAAGGGAAGGCAAGTCAAAGACCTACAGATATGTTCCTAGAAGGGTGAAGAAACAAGAGATTATTTGGTTTGGGTTCTTTTTTTCTTCCAAGGTGGGCTAGGATGCATGGTATGACATGAAGAAAAGGGCAGCTCACATGGTGTTTTGAAAGAAATGTGAGTTAAGTCAATGTTTCTAAATTAATTACTTGTTTGGCTTTTTGATGGATAAAGATTTTTTTTGATTAAGCCAGGATCCTACATTTTCTCCAAACTGTGGAGAYTAGATTCATATTTGCGTCACTACTCTACACAGTTATTTTACTTCCATGTTCTCTGTACTAGTACAATCTTTATTTGAGCTGAAGTCCCAGCTGCTCCTTAGGTTGTCTGTGGACCATTATTTCTGATGCTTAAAAGAAGTAAGAACTCTTATATACAATTAGGTTTGCACATAAGTAGCTGTTGCATTGGACTATTATTTCCTCTTCTGAAAATAAAATATATTGTTTGTTAGTTTGGGGAAATAGGTGAAAGTTGCTATATGTTTCATTGGTCTAGGAATACTTTTTATGGATTTTTGCATCCTGTTTTCTGAACCCCTATCTCTCATATTAAGAGTTGAATGATAATATTCTTTTATAATGATCCTACTCTTAGTTTATTGAGTTTATGCCTTTTTTTCACTCTTAAATAAAGCATAAAAGAAGTATGTAATGTTCATTAATGCACTGGATGTTTTAATATTTCATTTCTTTTGCCTTGCAAACAGCCAGAAGAGCTCAGAATGAGTAAACCGAATAATACTGACGTTCAAAGCACATGTGAGTAAATCATTAAATAATTGCAGAAATACTTTATCTGCCTATATAATGCTAGTTATAACTTGTTTTATTTGGTCTCAAAGAGCAGGTGAGTTTCCAGTGATCAAATTACTTTGTCCTGTTTGAGGCTCTTCAATACAAGAAAGAAAGGGTCTGGAGCATTTCTTATGAAGAGAGACTGAGGGATCTGGACCTGTTTAGTCTGGAGAAGAGAAAGTTGAGAGGGGATCTCATTAACACATGTAAATATCTCAGAGGCAGGTGCCAGACTCTGCAGTAGTGCCCAGTGACAGGAAGAGGAGCAATGGCCATAAACTGAAACACAAGAAGTTCCCTCAACATGAGGAAGGATTTCTTTATACTGAGAGTGGCAGAGCACTGGCACAGGCTGTCCAGGGAGGTTCTGGACTCTCCCTGTCTGGAGACATTTAGAACACACCTGTGCAAGTTCTTACACCACATGCTCTAGGTGACCCTGCTTTGGTGGGGGGGTTGGACCAGATGATCTCCAGAGGTCCCTTCCAACGCTAATCATTCTGTGAAATTGTGTTGGAGCCACCACTTGTCTCAGGAAATTAAAAAGAAATAACTTACAAACTTGGATTTATTTCCTGTAATTAGAATATTTTAAAATAGTATTCTTTTCAGATGTTTTCAAAAAGTAACCTTGTGAATTCAGGAGCCAAATCACACAGAGCAGTATTTGAGATKTACCATTCAGGACTTTCTTAGGCTGAAGCCTAAGTAACTCTATTTTTGTCACTACTGTGACTGTTCTTGGTCTTACATAAAATACTTTTACAATATTCTATCTACTGGGAATTAAGGGGAAGCTGTTAAACGTCCATGGAACTGTGTTAGTGGGCTAGAAACTTAAGTGGGAAGTCCATCAAGGTTTTTGTTGAATGCACTGTTGTCGCAAATCTCTGAATGTTTTTAAAAGCTGTGGTAGCATATGACTTCACACCATTCACGTTTTCAACAAGGCTATCACATAGGTAGAGGAAGAAATGTTTGATTCATGAATTCTAATATTTTATGTACTGTATTAAAAATAGCTAGATACATTTCACGTGCACCTGGACATTGTTGGCCATTTGGTAATTTTCTCTGGGTATTTTGAGAAGACTGTTTCAATTGAGAGCGCAGTCTGCTGGTGAATTTAGCTTTGCTGCTTGACCGCTCCTGAATCAGTAGGCTGGTGAAGTATCTAATTCCTARTAACTAGAGAAAGAACAAATAGTCCATTCTTCTGTTTCTACTATAAAATTCAGCATTAAGGAAAGGGGTATCTACTCTTTATCCAGTAATGTACTTGAAGATGCACATGATTAAAAGAGGTGAAAGTTACTTTTCTGTAATTGATCCATAGCAATTCCTGTACAGTCACTGGTTTAAACACAATTCTATATTTTAGTCTGTGTTCTCTGTGGACGGACAGATAACTGCCCTGAAAAGTATGGAGAAAAACGGACCTATATGGAATACAATCTCACTGTTCATTATTATTGTTTGGTAAGTGTGTGGTGTTAATCTTGGAGTTTTGTGTTTTATCTGAAAAAAAAAAAAAAGTGTAACAAGTATTTAATAGTGCTAAGCTGCCCTGTTTTAACAATTTTGTGGTTGTAGGGCTTGAACTACAAGCTTTAACTTGTAGCCTTGAAGGCTTGTACTTGTCAGGTGCCTCAGATGAAATAAGTAAATCCCAGCAAGCCTTCAATGAAAGCTAAATTCTCTTCATGGTCCATTTAAAGGAATCACTTCATTCATTCTCCCAACCTATCATAGCATATAGCCATGAAGGTACATGTTAAGACAGAGGGAACAGTTGTGCAAACTACGTATTCCCTTCTAAAAGAAAAGTAGTTTCAGAATTTGAAATGTGAAAATTCTACTCCTTGCGGAAAAAAGTACAGAAATGTTTTCTTTTTTCTAATTTCTCATTAGTTCTTGTTTCCTGTGAGCTATTCTCTGATATTACATAGGACACTGTAACACTTAAAGTCCTAATTTTCAGTTAAGTTATATTTACCCTGCTGTTCATATTACTACAGTATCAGTAATTAGTAGAAGTTTATAATTTAAGCAAAGCTGTAGATATAATCTGCAGCTTTTGTTCTCACCCTTGACATTTTCCAAGATTCATATTCTTAAAGACATACTTAAACTACCTCTCAAACTCTAAATTTTTGCATGTCTTTGGAATAATATGACCACTTTAAAAAAAGAGCTTTTTGTTTGTTAATAAGTATAATTTCAGTTGTTCTCCCCAATTTTAAAATAAGTGTCAAGTATCAGAAGTAATGTAGGGGGTATGTTTTCTTAACAAATCCTTTAAGGAGTGTTGATTGCAGATGGTTTAATAGCTTGGATACCGAATCCTTTAAAGACTAAGGAGAGAGGAGGTTTTCTGAAGTTACATAAAGATAGAAATAATTTTTTTTAAAGAAATTTTAAGCAGCTGGAAGGAAATATAGGTCTGTTAGTGGTAATTTTGTCTCCTATATAAGGCCATATCAAATGATAAGAAAAAGTCCTATCCCAGTGGAGCAGAATAGCTACAAAAAGGCACACGTACAATATTGAGCCTTACGACTTATATTTGAACTGCAGGAAGCTCATCACAGTATCTTTTGCAATTTTTTGTCTACTTTTAAAAATGAGCAAAGCCCTGTGATTTTACTTAAATATAATGCATGTTACATAAGAAAAGAGTTCTACAAAGAGGCCCATTAGTGATACAGTTTAATTATTCTTTGCCAAATGTCTCACAGTTGGAAAAATAAATTAAATTGGTTCGGGTATATAATCTTAAATTTATTTGACTAAAATATTGATAAAACTAATTAAAATTGTGCTATATTGAAATTATAAAATAAGGTTGTAAAGAATATACAGTTTCACAAAGTAGTGAAACTCTTCAGTTATTTGAAGACTGTCATGTAGCTGCCTAACTTTAAATTATCATCAGGCTCTCCTGATTTGCCTAGTTACTTGATTCTGTGTTTATTTAAATCTTCTCTAAAGCAAATTACTTTTCCTCTTAGGTGACACTTCAGTACAGTTACTTCCTACTGTGCTTCATTATCTCACAGCACAATTGTCATTCACATTAACTAAGCTAATTTAATGTTACTTCCTCTGAAGATTTATGTGCTGAAAGTAATTGTTTGACAATTATCTGAATAGTCTGTATACTTGAAAAAGGAAGGGAAAGTACACTATCTCCRGCCTACAGTATTATACAATAGTTTGATGTTATGAAATATTTATTTTCATACTGGTTATTGTCATGTCAGACAAAAATGTGTTTTATATTGGGTTTTTAATCATTAAAATGTTCCCATGTGAGCTTTCTAAGACTAAAGTCTTACTTGACAAGCATAGTGTACATAATTTTAAATCTTTAAGTAGGTATGTGTTTTAAAATATTTAATTTATTTTCATAGTTGATGTCAAGTGGTATTTGGCAGAGAGGAGAAGAAGATGAAGGTGTAGATGGATTTTTAATCACAGATATTAGAAAAGAAGTAAATAGAGCTTCAAAACTGGTAAGAATAATGTCTTTGTTATTTACAAGGTGAAAAAAGTAACTTTTAAGTGCTCTTAGTATTGCCTGTGGGGTTGTTTTTTTCTTTCTCCAAGACAGTGGAGCCTGCTAAAGTATCTGAATTTTACATTTAAATAACAAGTATATTGGGATTTGTGGAAGCCACGAGTTTAAAAAAGCTGCAGAAATTGTAACAAGTCACCGTTAAGGGGAAAGAAGCACCTAAGATTCGTAAATACTCATTAGGCAAAAGGAGTGACAAGTCAGAAGGTCCACAAGAGATCAGAAAGTTTTATTAATAAATTACRCTCTTGGCGTAGAAAGTGGCCTGAGCTTTGTGGGAGGTACCTTTTTACAGATAGGTTTCTACACCCCAAAGATAGAGTTCTTGTCTTCTAYATAAGTCAGTTATCATGAGCAGTCTGTTCTTTCAAGCCTTTCTGGAAATGGGCTGGAGGGCTTTGGGGGTCTTAACCCCACCCTATAGTCCATGGCTACTTCTTGCCATGTTCTTGTGCTTGCACTGTGCTGTGTTGTGGTTCTTTCTCATGGAAGAGTGAATCTCTGCCTGGCCTKCTGACTAGAACAAGATCTGTTCTTTCTCATGGCGTGTTAATATCAGTAGTACRTGACTATCACCAGCAATCCGTTTGGCTCCAGAGCCATGTGGTTATCGGTGTTTGAGACCTGCACATTAGCCTCGTGTCTTCCAGAAATCGAGAGTTCCAAGGGTCTCACTTTGGACCACTGATAATATGGTCACAAAAGAGTGGGCTTTCATTATAGAAATTTTCTATCCTGGCTGCAATTCAGTTTGGTAACTTTCTTTGAAGTTTCAGTAACAAAAATCCTATTACAACTGGGTTGTTAGTCAGAGAAGAAAATAAGTTTCCAAGGATATTTTTAAAAAACAGAAGCTCATGTTAGTTCCTGGGAGCAGACAGTGTTTGTGATGAGCTCAAGAGAGGTTTAGTCCAATGCAATTCATCCAAGCTCAAGCCTAGCAAGCATTTCTGAGATCATAGTGTGGCCTGGGGGGCAGGGATGCTCCATTACAATTCGTCCCACAATTGAAGTCAACTTCCCTGGGCCTCTACAGTTTGCAATTATTTTTATTCCTTGGTATGTTGCAGATAAGTAAGTGTGAATTAAACTTTTATAACTCATGACGTGCTGAGCCTGAAGCTGACAGTAAATAATTTGTAGATGCAATTAAGAGATAGGTACTGGGAAAATGCATTTTAGCTTACATGTCACACAGCAATATGTATATAAACCAAATAACTGTTTTATAACTGTGAAATAACTGCATGTTTGACCTTTGTAACAGACATAAACCATATGATAGTTGTAACCATGTTATAGTTATAATCTGTTAGCTGATACTGTTTCTTACACGGCTTTTGTAATTTTTCTCTTACTTTAATTTCTGTAATTTTGCTTGTATTTAAAATGTTAATATTATGTTTCCAAAACAAATTATTTCTAGACATGTAATATCTGTAAGAAAAAGGGTGCTTCGATTGGATGTGTAGCTCCTAAATGCAAACGAAGTTACCATTTTCCTTGTGGGTTACGAAGGGAATGCATTTTCCAGTTTATGGAAGACTTCAGGTGAGTTTGAGGCTTTGTTATTTTTCCATTTTCAATTTATTACTTATACAGGTGTTGGCTTGGGTTTTATTCATGGCTTGCTGGTGGATATGCTGTTAGTTACAAATGAGATCCAATTATCTAGGAAAAGAACATCTGATTTGTTGAAGACATTAAAGTCATAGAGTTACATTGCATACCTAATGCTTATAAACTCAGTTCTCAAAACTTGATAAATACAYGACTTCATGCTTATACAAGAAGTTAAGTTGTTTATAAAATTAAACTGTAAATTCTAAACTCTGAAATAAACTGCATGATGGTCAATTTGGGTCTTTTGTTTGCATGTTTTCTGTGCCTTTGTTGAAATGGCAGAGATTTGGCTCCCTGTATTTCCCAGCAGTCAAAACGCAGTGCCATTCTGTTGTTTTTCCAAGTTTATTAGAGATGGAGTGCAGGAGAAATGGGCTTAACATCAAATGTTAAAAATCATTTTATTTTCTTTTGCTATCATCTGTCTAGCATCTTGGCTGTAGTCAAAATACTCTTGAGTGCATTATCTTTATTGTGAGCTGAGTTTGTAGGGTGGATGGATTTAAGTTTGGCAGGCACTTAAAAAATAACTCGTATTATGTCAAATGTATGTAAAGATAAGGCATTTTCTGAAGGATTTCTTCTAGAGCTGYATTTCTTGGATGTCATGGTACAGAATATCTCTTGGGTCAGTTGAGGTTAGYCATCCCAGCTGTCTCACCTCCCAATTCCCTGTGCCACCCTACCCTGCTCGCTGGTGGTGTGAGGTGAGAAATTGAAAAGGTCTGGACTCAAGATCTGCTCAGCATTCCTGTATTATCAATACTGTTATCATCAGAAATCCAAAACATATCACCCTACAAGCTACTATTAGGAAATTTAACTCTATCCTAGCCAAAACCAGTATGTCTGCATTTTTAGCTTGTTGCATAGCACTTACTCATGAAAAATAGATTAATTAATTAATTTTACTGTCTTCAAATTTTATGAAGAAGATTCTTAAAATGTTATTTTGGTAAAGGAACYATATATTACTATTTCTAGATCTTATTGTTGGGAACATAAACCAGTCCAACAGTTTACGGATAAAGAACCTAGAGGATCTTCACAGTGCACAATATGCCTGGATTTGGTTGACCATCTTCCAGTGTACTCTGTATTGAAAAGTCCTTGCTGTAAAAATGCTTGGTTTCATCGAGAATGCTTGCAGGTAATACAGGTTCTCCCTTTCATTCTTTTTGCATCCATGGAGATCACATTTCGGTTTAAAAATAATGGAACAATTTCTTAGCATTAAATGTAGATAGTAGGTATGAAATATGCTAGGTTTGAAGAACAGTGCTAAAATTGYGTTATGGACCCAAGAGGATTTGGGGTTTTTAATGTTATTAATTTTTCTCCCCTCATGGCCCCTTTCATTTATGAATCTTATTCTATCATATGAGCTCTTTAAATAAAGAGAAAATCCTTGCCATTTGCTTTTAATGACAAGTCACATCATGATTGATAGCAGCTTTAACACCCAAGTCAGGACAGTATCCATGAATGTAATGCTCATCAATATTAAGACATAATTTACTGGTATCTTAAGGATGGTGGTATTTCAATAATTGGTCTGGTTTTTTTGTTGTGTTTTTTTTCTTGACACAGTATCAAGCTTTGAGTGCTGGGATATTTTTCTTTAGGTGCACTGTATGTAATAACAAGGACAAGTTTCAAGAAGAAATGTTGAGAATGGGCATACACATTCCAGAAAAGTAAGTAATCTTGTTAATAATCACTGTTGTATGAAAACTTTGATAGGATGTTTAAATTATTTTTGATTTATTCTACAAGACCTTATCTATTAATGTGTAAAACATTAGTTTTACCTTCAGTTGTAGAAATGCTTAGTTTGGTATGGAGTAGCCTATTTTCTTTTAGATATGCATAAAAATTTGCAAAGGTCAAATTAGTTATCTCAAACATAAAACAGGAAGCTCTGAAAAGTCATTTTTAATGCCGTGATTCAAGTAAACTTTAAACTCAATTAGAAGATAAAAGCACTTCTTAAATACAATAATTTTTCTTTAACATGGAGATTGCAGAGAGATGGATTTTCTGTACCCAAGTTTTTTAATTGTCTGAATTTCTCTAAAGACAGAGTTATAACTGACTCAGCCATATAGCTTCTATCTTTTGCCAAGGGATTACAAAGGTTATGTTTAGTATAATAACTACTTAGGAAAAACAGCTTGGAATTTTTTTGTTTCTACCACTTTAAACCTCAAAATGTGACAGAAAGAAATCAGAATGATGTTTCTTTGTTAGAAATATTATTCCTTAATAACTGTTAGTCTCTTCAGAGACCACCATTAATTCTCCCTTAAAATTCTGGAGAGGAAGAAGAGTCAAAATAATTGATGAACTTTGCCAGACTGGCCTGGAAAACATTGAGTTACCATTCATGAAACCAGTTGCAGTGGTAACCTGAGTAGGCCATCTAAACAAATATCCTTGTTTTCTGTGAGAGAAAAAAGATAATAATATAAGACAGAGCAAACATGCACTGAGATCATGTGAAAAATAATGAATATTTGAAATCAAAGTTACTGTACACAAGAAAAAGTCCATCTGTGTGTTTTATAATTTTCATTACTAGACTTTTCCTCTTCACAATTGTCTGTTACCTGGAACATGATATGGTTGAAATACATTCATGTGTTTATTGCGTATATATTTTTTTGAAATACAGAATAACCCATTGAAACAATCAAAAATAGAGTTCTAATATCCAATCTTCTACCTTGTTTATAGGGATGCATCTTGGGAACTTGAAGAAAATGCATATCAAGACTTACTGCATTGTTATCAACACTGTGATGTTAAAAGATGTCTCTGCAAGAAAGGAAGAGACTATAATGAACCTGATAGGTATGATGCTTTAGAAGGAAAGTATAACTTAGGATGAAATAGTGTTTTGGTGTGTTTTTCATTTCTGTTATTTATTATTATCATGTTTATTTATATAAATGCTATGATATTTTCAGCATCAGRTTTTAATGTCAAGCCAACACACTGTACGGATAAACTGTTTTACTCAATGTAATCATATTTCCATACTAAAATTCTCTAACTTAATATGGTTATAAAAGCCACAAAACCAAATTTAATGCATTGTCCGTTACCTTGTCCTTGTCCTCATTTTATACAGGCTGGAGTAAATCGGTGCATCAACATAGCATGTGCCTAAATTAATATTGTGTATTCATCATTCAGAGATTAATTCAGCAATTCAATAAGTGTTACAATACTTAAGAGCCTTTACAAGGAACTATTGTTAAAGTAGTAGACTTACATGAAAATCAACCAGCTGCATAAAAGCTAGTGAAATCAATCTAGCTACAAAGCTATCCTCCTGCATGCAACTGGCAGCTAGAATAATGCTAGTAGAGTGAGGCTTGAGTGACTACATGAAAGGCTTTTTCTGCTCTACCACTTGCTTCATTTTTTTTTAGTAAGTTCATTTTCTGCCTGGATTCTTGTTTTGTGTGCTTCTGAAAATGGTTTGCTTTGAGTATACCCATCGGCATAGGTATGCTGAAAGCTGTCAGAGCCTCTACTTTGGAGACTTTTTTTGTAGTTTTGTCATGGTTATTCCCTGTAACTGTTGGTCAAAACTGTATAAATCAAAGCTAAGTTTTGCTTGATTCATTCGTGGTAAGTGTACACCTCAGTATTTACTTTGCCTTTAAAAATTGTACCTTAAACTTCCAGTATTGGAGCTAATCAGTTACATTGTTCCATTGTATGTTTAAGCAAAAGTGAAGAAATTAGACAAAGATCTAAGAGATCCTTAAAACACTGTCATTAATGGAGGGTCTTCTTCAGAGTGTAAGAATAATTGTAGCAGCATAAAATAGTTGGAGTTGGAAGGGAACTTTGTCCTATTGCAACAGGCTCTGCTAAAAACTCTGTCCCTCAACACGTCAGTAATTTGAATGTTTCCCTAGGGAGCTCTCCTCTAAAAATACCATTTGGAAAAGCTAACTGGTGGATACCCATAAATGCTAACTAGCAGCATGAGAAGAAAATCATGCCTGCAAACAGTTGACTTCAGGGCAGGGGAGCTCACTAATAGTCTCATTCAGTGCAAGGTGCTGGAACATGAGTAGCCTTTTTTTCTTGTTGCAGCCAGATCTGAGTACATCTCATGTGAAGAAAGTCTCCTTGATTAGAATCAGTTTACCAGACTGATAAAATTATGCTTTATTGGCTTATTGTCTGCATTGCACTTATGATTGAATAGTCTTTGTTTTAACCAGCTTCATTGCTCTAATTCTAAATACCTAAATTTTTAATTTTAGTAAATGGGAAATAAAGCGTTGTCAGTACTGCGGTTCTCGTGGGACTCATTTGGCCTGTTCATCTATGAAGTCATGGGAGCAAAACTGGGACTGCATGGAATGCAGAAGTATCTTTGCACAATCAGGTAAAGCTGTGGATGTGACAGTGATTTTTTAAATTATAACTTTAAGTTATGTCAGTTAAACCAGAATTTGCAATTAGCAAATTCATTAAACTAATATAATTTAATCATGCAGGGAAGTACAGGAAACGGAAAAGATGTTCTTTGGCTACCTCTGAAAAGACAAATGGGACAAATTCTTTGCTGGAAGAGCCATCTCCAAAGTCCCCTCGGCAGTCATCTGGATCGCCACGAAATTTTCTACTCCAGTATGTAATTTTCTGTTTTCTAGCAGAAACTGATTATTGCATAAAAAAATTAAACATGAAGAAATGATAGCTTATTCTGTAGGAGAAACTTACACTAATCTGCAAATAAAATAGAATTGAAATAAAGTGTAGTGGTAGAAGGTTTTTTGAGTAAGCCATGAACTTTGGAAATTTGCTATAGTTTTTTGGATTCAGTGGCATGTAAACCACTTTTTAGTTGGGTAAAGATAGAGCCTTGTTGTAGGAACTTTAACAATTTAGTGGTAATTTAGACTATGCAAATAGCAAAGGTTTAAGTATTGGTATTTTTTCCATTTTAGTAGTGTTCTAGAGGTCTAACTTAGAAATGTTCGTATTAATGTTTCCCTCTGCCGTAATAAAACTTTTCAAGTCTGTAGAARCTCATATTTTTAGTTTTTACTTACTGTATCAGTCAGGACTTTCTTCTCATGCATAAGATACAACTAAAAACATATCCTAGGACCACCATGTGGTAAAATACTGAATTGTTATTTTTAAAATTGTAATTCAGGYACTGGTGGACTTCATGGAAATGAAAATACAAATGAGATTTGATACTGAAGTAGGGGGAAACTATGCTGCTACTTTGAAATAGGAAGTGTTCATGCATTCTTCAGTTGTATCTCTTCTCAAAATTGCTTATAACTTCATAATATTGTTATATTATTAATATTTTAATATAATGGTTTTGGCTTATAGGTCACCAAAGATAACGTGCCAGAACTTGTCACCTTGCTCACACCTAGAACTTCCAGCATCCAACAGAGTGACCATGTCCTTATCTCCAGTGGTGTCAAACAGGATCTGGTCCCTGACACAAAAGTATTTTCTTCTATTTTTCCTATTTTGAAGAGTAATCTAGCACATGGTTTTATACTGTGCTTCCTGCAGAATGTGCCAGGGAGGAGTGTCTGTGTGTTTGTGTGTTTGTACAGTATCCATGTGTATTTGTGCATGTGTGTGTATATACAGTGTATCTATTTGTGTGTGTGTGTCTATATAGTATCCATATTTTTGTATGTGTGACTGTATATATATAGTCACTTGAAAAATGAGATGAGTATACACTTAAAACCTGAGGTCACCGCTTGAGAAAGGCTTCTMCTGTTCATAAATTTTACAGGGGTGTGAGGAGAAAAGAAACCTATTGTGAAATTTTAGGTTAGGCAGTGAGGAAATCAAAGCCTGGAAATGCATATTTGTCCTTATAGATGCATGGCTAAACATTCTTTAGAAAATAGGAAATAATAAGAATCCTAATTACTTTCTTCTAATTAGACATGCTAAATTTTCTATGTTTTTATCTTTGTACCATAGGAAATAGTTCATGATTATACCAAAAACAGTGCTAAAAGAACATGTTTTAATATAGAATATTCAATTTAAGGACATAAAATTCATTATCTTGTTGGGAGTAGTTAATTAATGGATTCTACCTTATGTGTGATGAGGGAATTAGTTATTTCTAGTAGACAGGGTATTTGAGATAGTTTTGGTTGGAAGTTAGAAAACAGAAGACATTTTTCTTATATGAGAACGAACTTTCTCAACGAACCACTCAAATGTGGTTTTTTATCATGGTGTCAAAGGTTACCCTGATTTAATTGCAAGCTATCTTTAACRTAAAACAGTAAACTCTTCAATTTCTCACTCATTTCATTGTTGAAATGTGAGAATTGTTTGGCATTGTTCTTAGAGGTACTTACAAATTTGCCACTACAGGGTTAAAATTTTTAAAATCTATACTAAATGTTTAGGCAATACTTGAATGTGCCAATGTTTAAAGAAGTGGTCTTCTTAATAGACTGTTAAGATGTTTTTTGTGTAACCGTTACTCATTATGAATCATAGATTTTGTCTGAAAACTYGTGCAATTTTCTTGTAGGTGTTTAAGAGAGCAAAGAAGAGAAGTTCGTAATATACTGAAGGAATTAAAGGTACAAGTTAAAACAAAACCAACAAGGCTTAACATCAATGCAGAAAATATCTGGAGTAGTGCTTTAAAAGGGTTCAGGCAGCGCAACTTCAGTCCTACAAACACCATTGAAGTGAGTTTCTCAAACTGCAAAATTAAATCAAAGACAAATACTTCTGGGTCAAAACACCGTTTCTTCCAATTACTAATGCATCATCTTCAGAATTCATCATTGTTTGAAGGCTCCTGTGGAAAGAATTTGTCCCTTGATTTTCAAGGTAATTGCCTTGTTCGAAAATATACTGAGACGTATATAACTTGAAACATTTTTTAGTCTTTGGCCAGTGTGAGTGTCAGGTAACAAGTAGAGTCCTGAGGGATAAAAATTGGGGTTTGATTTTTACGTTTTTTCTGTTCTAAAGGAGATGGTGTGTGGACTTAGAAAAATTTTGATTTAGTTGGAAAAGTTGCTGACAACCAAAGGAAAAATACAGCATATAACTAGACTTGGTACTTTTTAATTCATGTGTTTGTTCTCTTCAAGTGAAATTCTTCCTGGCTCACTTTCTCTGCCACTTATTTTCCTTTCTTCAAGTTTCTAGAACATTAATAGCGTGCTTCCCAAAGACCCCAAGTTACTCTCTTTGAGTTCTTATGCCTCAGAATTAAATATGCATTAGGTGTAAAGTGGAAGAGGAAATTAAATCTCCAAACCTTGATAGTGGCTGAAGAGTTGGTGTGAAAGAAGGTGGCACTCCTATGTAGAAATGTGGTCTTGTAGTTTGAACCATCAGGAGATAGCAAAAGTCATTCAGAAAAAATAGCATTATTACATTTTCTATAAAAACATGAGGATCRGAAGTCATTTCTGTGTATAAAGTCAACATATTTTTCTATTTGCAGCTGTAAAAGAAAACCTTTATTTTGAAGCTGGTAAAATGATTGCAGTTTCTCTGGTTCATGGTGGTCCATCTCCTGGTTTCTTTTCCAAAGTACTATTCGATTGTCTTGTCTATGGTCCAGAGAATGTGAAACCAGCTTTGGAAGATGTCGCTGATGTTGATGTAGCACAAACAATAAAAACGGTAATGTTCAATAAGTTTCATTTTATTTCTTGCTCACGACTCCATTTGGAGATAAAGAAGAACTTACTGAATGTAAATTYTGTTGAAATTAAAAAGCTTATGTACATGCATATAGTAAATAACTTCCTAACTTATCTTTTTATGCAGATAAAATATGCAAATAGTCTGTCTAGCCTGCAGTCTACACTACAGGACTGCAGTGAATTCCTCGCTGCTGCTGGATGTTTAAGACCTGTAACAGCTTTGTGTGATAAGAACATGCTGGTGAATGACATACTGATCTATCATGTAATCAAGAGAACTATTTTACCCTTAGAAAGGTGTGTTTTGTTTGAGTTTTCAATCTTCTTGGTTCTTTTCCTCACTGAGCTACTAAATAATAGAACTAAATTTCACATGTTTTTATTTATTCTCCATTTAAACCAATGAAATATACTGTAATTTTCACTTGATTAAGTAGCAACTGTTGACTAGTTAGTTAAACTGAAAGACTGAGATTATTTCTCTACATATCTGCTCTATTCCACTTCTCCTTGGTCACATTCCTTTTTCAAACCTTATGAAGAGGGCAGATGTAYAGTTTTTAAACTATAGCATTACAAAGACCTTTGAACTATAAAATTTCTCTAGCTTATGTTCATTTCTAATTCAGAATTGCTCAAATTTAGAATCTTTACATTTTATAAATATTAAACGTGTTTAGAATTTAAATGAGTTTTCTGGAGTTCTCATTAGGGAGTTCATGTGTGCCATTAGGAGTGCAATACTGTCAACAAGTGTTGAGTTGGCCTCCTTAGAACCTAAGTTTTGCATCGATGTTTCTGTGTAGTGATGACCTCATTAGCTGGAAAAGTTGTTGGGTGTTGGCTRTTCTTTGGTTGGTCTCTGACCTTACTTCCAATTCGCATTCTTCATCTGCTCAGTGAAAACGTATTGGATGTTAATTTTTCCAACAACCATAGCTTGATTTAAACTTCACATACAGTGTTATCTTTGACAAATTTGAATCAACTCAATCTCCAAGAGCTATGAAAACTAATTCAAAAGATCACCTCCCTTAAACTGCTGGGAAAACAATTCCTAGTACAGCCCAGGATGCTGCTGTCTGAATTTGCCACAGGGAGAAATAATAGCATGTAAACACATGCAGACTGCAAAAGCGAAGCAAAGTCTATCTTTAAAAAAGACCCCACATTTTGCCTGCASACTAGGAATTTAAACTGTTTTCCAAAGAGCTGTTAGTAAGAAAGAGGTTTGCTGTTATCATATGACAGTCAAAAGTAAACCTTGCACATACAGTCAAGTACCAGGAAATAAGGTCAATTCCTGCATATCATTGGTATTTCTTTCATCTGCCCAAAAAGCTCCACAGAAACGTTTAGATTGTTAAAATGAGAGATTTCTCATTTTCTGAGATAAAACGGGAGTACTATGTAACTTCATTGACAAGATTTAGAGACTGAAGATGGGGAAGGTATGTCCCATCTTGCAGCTTTATAAAATGCAGAGTTCTGATGCATGGTCACTCTTTTTTTTTCCCCTCCTAGTTTTAGGCAGGGTTTGAAAACTCTTGGTGTTCTAGAGAAAATGCAAATGCACCCTGATGCSTTCTCTAGCATATTGTGCCACAATCCCGAAAGACTTTCAGCGGAAATTATTTGTGATCTCTTTACAATCCATTCCTCATCAGATGTAAATAAAGTTAAAGGTGTTGATTTTTGGATGGGCTATTTGCAAGATGTGGAAAGTAAGTAAATTTTTAATTTTTTTGGTTTTAATTTCTTCCTCTTCCCTATTCATGCTGTTTAGTTGCTGGCATACATACAGGATTTTATTTTTAGAGTTCAGTGGGGTAAATAAATCAAGGTTYTGTAGTCACTATCAGTTCCTAATGGTTCCTTCTTCCCCCTCTTTCTTACTAATTAGAATTTCTGAAACTGTAGCCCAAAGCTTTAAAGGGGTAAAATCTGAAAGATTGGATCTAGAACTCCTGTGAATTAAAAAAAAAAAAAAAGCCAAACCACAACCAAAGTGATACTGAAAAATCCTTTATTAGATAGTTTGTGTAAAGTCTTAAAGACCACTGTTTTCTATGCTGCAGAAGAGGTTTTTTGTGTTCACTTTTCAGGACTAACTGAAGTGGGGKTTTTTTTTGCTAAACTTTTTCTTAGTTAGCCATATAACTACATATTTATTCAGCATATTGATTTGATTTCATGTGAGGTTCTCTTCCTCTTAGCAGTTAGCATGCAGCACAATTGTTTAGGTGTAATAGACAATCAATAAAACTTAATCCTATTTTTTTAGGTGGTGAGTCAGTAGTGACATTGGAGGATATTCTGCTCTTTGTAACAGGCTCCTGCTATATACCATCCATTGGTTTTGATCCTGAACCTACTATTAAATTTTTGCATATGAAGTATCCCGTTGGAAACAGACTTCTTAATTGCTTAGAGCTTCCTATAACAAAGACATACCAGCAGTTTAAAAATAAAATGGAGCTCACCATCAGAAACACACTAAGAGTTGAAAGGGAGTAAGTATTTTTGCCACTTGCGTGGATGTAGGAAACTTGAATTTTCTGCGGGAACATCTGCTTTCAGKTCGCTACTGTATTTTTGGACAACATGCTTCTAGTATTTTCTGACCTTTCCCCCAAAATTACACAAAAAGTTTTAATGAGATGGAAAACAATTTTCAAAWTATTAAAAAGTTTTATCTCTTGAATAATTTTCCTTTTGAAGTTGTCTTTTAAGAGTCATCTATCCTCTTGCAGAAGTAGTTTTAATGTCTGTTTTTGCTGTAGATAGGTTTGAAATGTTACCAAACTCTGTAACAGGTAAGTGTGTGGATTGTATCAAACACTTAGGTAACTTGTTTATCAAAAACAAATCAGGTACATTTTGAAGATAATTGCTGGTGAGCACTGTCTTCAATGAAACTGTGATGCAGTTCTTCAGTTCCATATTTTTTTTTTCAGTAATTGTTTTGAATTTACATTCTGATTGTTTATAGAAACCTGGAAAAGTTAAAATAATTGTTGTTTCATGGTCATTGTGACTAGTGCATTACAGATGTGGAGAAAACATAGGCAAAATAATATACCATAAGAGCAAAATGAGGTTGAACTCCTGTTTTTATTGTTAAAAAAAAAATCTTCTCATATTTTCACGTTTCTGCATTCTACTGTCATACATTGATTTTCAATTTCACATGGGGCCAAAATAGTAAAAAACAGAAGTAAATCTTGAACATCCAACAACCCGTCTTTCAAAGTTAAATATAGGAGTTAAGACTTAATGTTGTTGAGTATGAAATWATAAGTTTGTTGCTCATTACAACATTTAAACTTGTCTTCCATTTAAGTCAGTATTTTCATGAAGACATCTGCCRAAGTCCTTCTTTAAACTAAAGGCAATCTACCAGCAAGCTTGTCTGGACCTGACACTTTTCTGTCTTTTATTCTAAACCTCCTCCTGTTCAATTGCAGGGCATTCTGAGCACTATATGAAATATATTAGTGCTGCAGTATTTGTATAAATACCATTAAGCTGTAAAAGATAAGTAGCCAAATTCTTACACAGTAACACTTTAATTTTACTAATGCTAAAACTATGAAATTAAAAGGACATTTAAGTACATTCATTTTAAATGTATGCTGCTCTTTGTTTTGAAATTGCTATTTCCCTCTGGCAATTTTGACCACCTGTATATATCTGTGTGTATCCACATTCTTCAAAACACTGAAAAGTAATCATGCATTTTTTTATTATTATCTCTTGATTTGAAATAAAAMTATAAGCAAGATTGCTTTACATTTGAATACTCAGTGAATAGGTTCCTCTGGAAAATAATAGAAAGTCTGAGGAAATCGCAAGTCTTAGATCAGACATTTCTCACTACTTCTAATGGCTAAAACAATCTAATCTCATCAAAGTTTAGCATTTTCTCAGTGTCTTCTCCAATAATACTGTCTCTGACTTTTGCATGATTTTTGACTCTCCTTCTGCCAATAATTTCTTAGCATTCTTAGCCTTCAGAATGATCWACCACCATTACAGGGAGAGTGGTTTGACACAAATTTGTTTACATAATAAGAATTAATATTGTATGTCTGTATTTTTAAAATATAATGAGTTTTGTGCTGATATAATATTATACTTTAAAAATGAGTGTTGTACTCAGTGGAGACTTCATTTTTTTCCTAATTTCTGTGTTCTGTAATGTTATTTTTCCATGTGAGAAGTACAGAATTTACAAAAGTAGCAAGCAGTGAGTAATTTTAAAGGACAATTCTTGGACTTTTGGTACCTGCAGTGGCAAGAGAAATTGTTCAGAACCTAGAGCTACATAAACTACATTTTAAAACCTTCCATGATGAAAGAAATAAGAAAATAATGTGAATATAAGGCTTCAAAACATACCTGAAATTACAGAAATAGAGTTCACAATTTTTATTGCTTATTGCTTTTGAATTCAGCAGTTGAAAGGCTTTTATATAAAGGTACCACTAACCTATGTGTTAGGTGTAAAATATGTTAATTTTAAAATAATCTGCTATGCAATGCTGTATTCAAACACTGMATTTGTAAAATCACATAGCATTAATATTGCATTAAAGGGCTTTTCTTGCACAGAATTTGTTCCCATTTTCTAATACTGATGTGTACTCATTCAGGAGGACAAGTCGTATTTCCTTTTCTGTTGGTTTAATCAGCTCTGTCTCTGGACACTCCAGTGTAATATTTGATACATTAAAAGTTGCATTCCTAAATGCTGCTATGGAAAGGAATTTCCTCCTTTTCAGCATTTGTTTATATGGACCAATCACAAATTTATCTGAACTGTTCATTWGAATTCCATTGAATAAGCTAACTTYCAATCCATGACAACACACAATGGTCTCCTGGTGTCTTGAAATTTTAAGAGTAATTTATGTAGCTGTAAGGACCATAGGTTTTTCGTTGTTGTAGCAGGTCATTGAAGTGCAATATTGTGGAGTAGTTTTCATTTTACATAAACATTACTTGTGGCACATCTGGAAATTTGGGGGGTTGCTTATTTTCAGTATTTCTGTAACAGGGAGAACAATTGTGTATTAAATAGATTCTTAGAGAAGCTGCATCTTTTACAAGATTTGTCAACATCACAAAAGAACTATTGCAGTCCTTTTTGTATTTGGCCAAAGAACTTCACCCCACAGTTYCTGCATGAAACTGTTAGCTTCCATCTGGAACTAGCACATCAAATAAGCTATTTATTTCCTAGAATGATGATTTCTACTAAACAAATATATTGGTATTAGTGGGTTTAGTATGGTCTCCTTAACAATAGACATATAATGAAAAAACACCCTCAAGTATTTTAGCTCCCTGTTTGAAAAACCAAGGAACAAGACATTTCTGTGACTTGCTTTTTTACCCATTCAGAGGATGCTTACCAGGAAAAGCTGTTAGCCTTTTTAACTGATTTAAGCGTGAAATATAGTTCAAAGAAGGAAAAATTGTCAATAAGAAGTCTAAAGTATTGCGTGCTGCAGCTTGAATTTTTTCATTAGGATGTTAAGTCCTGGGATTTGAAAACATGAGGATTTTGAGAGTATTAGTTAATAATTCACACCCACATTCTGCATAGGTATTTTGAAAATCAAAAAAATCTGATTTAAATAAAAGGAATTGCAACTTTGAAGCCTACAAAATATGCTTCTCAAGTTTATCTTGTTTCACCATATAATACAGAATCAAGCCTAAAGTTCAAGCTTTACTGTTTCTTACCTAACGGAGTTTCCAGTTGGACAAAAGAAAAATKACCATGTAAACCTTTTTCAGTGTCAAACCGTATGTATACAGAAAATAATCTTTTAAATGCTGATGTTTGTAAAAAAGCTACAATGTAACCCTCTGRTTTTTGTAATATATAAACAATGTTCTTTTGTAAGTCACAGTTTTTAGAATGTTATGCAAGAAAATGTAATTTTGTAAATATTTTTTTTTTCTAATTTGAACTTCAGGATCAGTGCCTGAACTGTTGCACCTTCAAGCAACATTTTACATGACAGGTGTAGAAATAATCAGTAAATGGGAAATATGTTTATGTTCAAAGTGCAATAAAAAGTTACATATGTAGYTTCTGTGTTTTTCTTATGTTTTAATGGGTTTTAGCCCATAGTGTTCTGCAGTTTCATTTGTGTACCTATAGATTTATATGAAAGTGTATAGGGCACGTTTACCTGGGTTGCGTTTGTATCCAAAGCTGAGTTCGGGCGAGTGGGGCTCTTGCCGTTGTGGGGTTGTTGGAAGGGCGTGAAGGAAGGCATGTGGGGATGTGCGACAGGAGGTAGAGGAAAGCGAACTTGTAACTGTTTTCCATCGCCGTAACTAACTAAACCTAGTATTTGTRGCTAGATGCCTGGCTTTGAAACAGCAGTCCTTTTATTTAGTCACGAGCTGGTCCTATCAAAGCTGTTTATTATCTTTTCCTGAAACTTCAGTCCAGAGCATTTACTACCCGTTCCTCACTAGCGAAAAGGCCGTCCCCCGCCCTCGTGGCTGTTCCCAGCCAGGCAAAGCACAGCCGCTGTTTTCAATGGCAGGCGGGCGCTCCCCGTCCCTGCCCGGCGCTGCGAGGAGCCGGGCCCGCCCCGCGCCCAGGGCCCGCCACGTGTCGCGGCGGCTGCGCAGGCGGCGGGCGGGGCGGGGCGGGGCGGAGCGGCCGGGCCGGCGGCGCGGGAAGATGGCGGCCGGGATCCGGGAGAAGCAGACAGGTGAGCGCCTGCCCGCGGTCCCGCCGTGTGGGCGGCTCCGGCCCCTCCCGGGCTGGGGCAGGGGGAGCGGGACCGGCCGCACGCTGCCGCTGCGGCTCCTGCCTCTGTCCCCGCGGGGCCCGCTGCCGGCGCCGCCGCGCCTCCGCCGGGCATTCGCGCCCTCTCCCCCGGCTTGGGTCTCTCGGCAACCGGGTGGCGGCCCGCCTGCCGCCTTCTCCTCGCCTCTGGGGGCGGCGGGGCTCCGGGGCCTCGGGCCGCGGTTCTCGCAGAGAAGCTTGGGCCCCAGGCCCCGGGGACGTGGCCGTAGGTGCCGCCGAGGTGTGGAAGGCATCCCGGGGCGGGACTTGGCCGGGSCCGGGCCGTGAGCGGTGCCTTTTCCCGTGGCCGCGGGAGCGCACCCTCCGTTTCAGCTTCCTTCTGCCCGTGGGAAATAGCGTTTAATGGTGCAAAAATAAAGCTGCCGTTGTCATGCTCGTCTTAAGACAATACAGGAGCATCCGAGCTTGTACTGACCCTCAAGAAACTGAGAATACGGTATTAACAACTAAATTAATTGTGTTTGAGGATTTCTGTGAGTAAAGGGTTTGTTATTCCGTCCCTTCTTACACGTTGCTGAGAGTCCTTAATTGATTCAGTGTTCTCTGTCTTGATGGTGCTTTGTAAAGCCTTGTACATACCCCTAAAGCACAGAGCTTGTCAAATGTGTAGTTACTCTACTTCCCTTGCTTGCCGAAGTTGTAGTCAGTATTTGAACTGTAATTATGTCACTTGCTCCTTGACAACTGCAGTATCTTTGGTGATATAAAGGATTCTGGCTGCATTTACTTAGGATGAAATGCTTCAAATCATCTGCCTAAAAATCACAGTCACAGTCTCGGTGGGCCTTAAATATTTACTAGTATGCTTTATTTTTTGGTATCAATTACTTTTTGTAATTTCATTCCTGTGCCATCTACCGTTTTTAGTGCTGTTTGATGTTCCTTTGCAGTCCTTTGCTTACCTTCTTTTTGCTACTTTTCTAATAAAGCCCATTTTCTTTGAGCTCATATTCTGTACAGCTTTATTCTTTTCTATTATGTTTCGCCATGTTCGTTCATAGAGTGGTTTGAGTTGAAAGAGACCATGAAGATCATCTAGTTCTAGCTCCCTCCCTGCTGTGGGCAGGAATACCTTTCACTAGATCTGGTTGCTCRAAGCCCCTTGCAGCCTGGCCTTGAACACTTCCAGGGRTGGGGTATCCACAGCTTCTCTGTACAGCCAGTTCCATAGCCTCACCACCCTCATAGGGAAGAATTTTTACCTTATATCTAACCTAAACCTACTCTCTCAGCTTAAGGCCATTCACCTTTGTTCTATCACTACATGCTCTTGTGAAGTGTYCCTCTCCAGGATTCTTGTAACTCCATTTATGTACTGGAAGGCGCTGTTTGTTCTCCAGGCTGAACAAACCCAACTGTTTCAGCATTTCCTCATAGGAGGGGTACTCCAGCCCTCTGATCTTTATGGGGGGCCTGCTCTCAACTTAATTCAACAGGTTCAAGTCTTTTTTATGTGGGGCCCAGATGTAGACCCAGCACTCCAAGTCAGGTCCCACCAGAGGAAAACAGAGGGGCAGAATCTCCTCACTCTCTGCTGGCCATGCTGCTGTGGATGCAGCCCAGGGTACAGTTGGCTTTCTGGGCTGCAAGTGCACATTGCCAGGTGATACTTCTCATCCACCTGCACCCCTAAGTCCTCCTCAGGGTTGCTGTAAATACATTCTTCACCCAGCCTGTATTTGTACTTGGGATTGCCCCAACCTAGCTGGAGGATCTTGCCCTTGGTCTCACTGAACTTCATGAGATTTGCACAGACCCACATCTTAAGTCWGTCAAGGTGCCTCTGGATGGCTTCCCTTCTCTTGAACTTATCGGGGAGGAATTTCTTCATGGAAGGGATTAAACATTGGAATGGCCTGCCCATGGAAGTGGTAGAGTCACCATTCCCGGAGGTGGTCAGCTGGACATGGCACTTGCTCCGTAGTCTAGRTGACATGGTGGTGATCAGCCAAAGTTTGGGCTTATTGATCTTGGAGGTCTTTTCCAACCTAAATGATTYTCTGATTTTGTGACCACACACAGCTTGATGTCATTGGCAAACTTGCTGAGGCTGTGCTCAGTCCCACTGTCCATGTCACCAGCAATTGTTATTGATTATTTCAGCCTTTGCAACTGAATCTATGTTGTCTTCTGTTAGGGAGGTCTTTTCCAGGGAGCTAGATTGAACAACTAAAAGATACTCAGAAAAAGGTATCATTTATTATTATTATCACCACTTACCATTTATTGATGGTGTTACCATGTATGGGCACCATCTGTTGTGACCTTTATCCTGGTTCATAACCAGGATTGGTTTCATAACTAAAACATATAATTGTGCAAGCACGGTAAAAACCTGATCCTTGCCCCAGAGAATATTCAGCATTAATGTAAATGAAATGCCGATATGAATACAAAAAAAAAGAAATTCAGACACTTGCTGAATGTTGACATGATTATCACAGCACATTACTAGTCTGATTACTCTTTCTTAGCAAAGATCTTATGCCAGGTTTTACATTAGATGATAAACACTGCAATGCATCTGCTTCAGCTCTGGTAGTACCAAAGTACATAACCATGCAGCTTTATATAAAATTGCTCATATGGGTGAAGATGTCACCAGTGGTKAGGGACCAAAGAATCCAAGAGCAGCCTGTAATTAACTTTCAGGGCTGCTTCATGATATTTAAAAAAGAAAAGTATGAAGCAAGTGGAAGGCTGGAGTCCAGCGAGATTGAGYACTCAGTGCTAGCTTGGATCTTTCCACATTCATGTTTCACTGTTAGAAATGTCATTTGAAAGGGCAGTACACAGGAGGAAGCAGGATGTCAGAAACATAGCCTGGCCATGGATAGATGGTATTAGGGAAGCTGAAGTTCTGTTGAGGCTGATTCGTACAATGTGAATCCAGAGAAAGGAGAAGGGCTTCTGCTGCAACATTAGTAGCAAAAATGTGAGTATGGAAAAATGCTGGATCATTGCTGAATGGAACTGACCATTTAGTGGTGATAGGCACAGACAGGGCTGAGGTAACTACTGCTGCCTCAATCTTCACCAACAAATGCTTCCAGGCCTTAGTGTCAACTTTGGAGTCAATCATGGAGTGTATCCTATTGGAAAATGCTTCTYGTCAAGTGAAGGAAAAGGCAGGCATGGATTTATGTATAGTAAATCTGCCTGACCAGCCTAATTGCCTTTAGTGATAAAATGACTGGATTTGTAGGCAGCAGGACAGTAGAGGATGAAATTTACCTTGACTTCAGCAAAGCTTTTGACACTGTGGTGTTACATCCACATAGGATATTACAGACTAGATGGATGAACAAGTAGCTACATTACAAAAACCGGTTTTGGATGGTCAGGCTCAGAGGGTTGTAATTAATCAGACGTAATTACCTAGAGGCTGGTAAAAACTGGAGCAGTGCATGAGTGTATTCTGTGACCTCTCCTGTTTAAAATCACCTGGAGGACGTGCCAGAGTGTACTCTGATTAAGTGCAGGTGACAGCAAACTAAGGGAATCTCTTCTACTTGAGGGCAGAGTTGCCGTTTGGAGGCACATGGATGGGCTAGAGGAATGGGCCAGCAGAGATGTTGTAAAATTAAGCAATGAGAAATGTAAATTCCTGCACTTGTAGAGGAAGAGCCCCTTGCACAGTGTGGGCAATAGCCAGACTGGAGAGCAGCTCTGTTGGAAAGGTCTGCGAGGCGTCCTGATGGACCATCAGCTGAAGAGAGTCAGGAGGGACTACCACAAGGTGCTCAGGGGCTGCGGTGGGGCTTTAGCACTGAGGCTTGTTCTGCCTGGAGTTTTTTCCAGGTGGCTTCTCAATACCTGTGGGCAGCTCTGAGAAGATGGAGCCAGGCCCCTTTGTAGTGGGGTATAGCAGTACAGTGAGAGACAACAGGCATGAATTCCATAACACAAATGAGTCGTTCTAACTGGATATAAGGAAAAGCTTTTTCTCCACAYGGACAAGCAGTGTCACAAGCTGCACAGTGTGGTTGTAGCGTCTCCATCCCTGGAGACTTGACTGGATAAAGCCCTGAGCAGCTTGGCCTAGCCTTAGAGCTGACCCTCCTGGAGTAGCAGGTTGGACTGGAGGTCTTCCAAGGTCCTCTCYAGCCTGAGATGTCTTGTGATGCTGTAGATCCCAGGGAATTGCACTTGAGTATGTTCCCAAGCTTTAGTCAGCTAGAATCAGAAGTTAATTGTTTCTACTGCTCTCTGTTTATGAACTAAGTGATATACATTGCTCTGATTTCTGGAAGTTTTTCCTTTTTCCAAAACTCTCTGGTGACATTGTTACAAGTTTTAAGAGAATAGCCGCTAATTTATAATGACACAAATAGTTTTTTGCTGCTAGTCAAAGGTGGGAGAGCAGCACATATTGTGTTGTTTAATCAGATAAGTAAGGAACGATTCATTACTTAATAGATTTATAAATCAGAGGTAGGAGAAGCAATCTGCTTTGGTTTCTTTGTTGATTGTAAAGTTAAATTAAAGTTCATTCMTATTTCAAAGAGTTTTCCTGCTGCACATTGAGGATATTTTTGTATCCCCTAAACCAGCAATTTCTTCATATGAGTTCTCAAAACCTTTCAAACTGTGTATTGAATTTATTCAGGCATAAAGGTATTTTTTGTTTGGTGYGTACAGTGTTGTTCCTGTGGGGTGGGCAAAGGAGATTGGGGAATAAAGAAAAATAGTTCCCACTGGACAGACAGCACCTTTGGGAAGATACTGGGATTATTTTTAAGGCAACCTGTGTTAGAATATAGCCTGTATAACTAAGGAGAGTTAATGTTTTAGAACTTGCTGCTTTTCCTTTTGCAGTGTCTTCTGGAGCCCATGAATTCTAGCTTATATGAGCCTCTTATCAGTCAAAGCTGCATAAAAATAATGAAAATGTGGCTTATTGCATTTATATTTTATGATGGTTTTCCTCTCAAATGAAATGCATAATAAAATCCTGCTAATAGTTTAATCACTGCTGCTGAAATGTGAAGACAGTAAAGCATTATGTGGCTTTATTTTCCAGTGGCTTTGAAACGTATGCTGAACTTCAATGTTCCTCCTGTTAAAAACAGCGCAGGAGAACCAGTATGGAAGGTAAGAACTTTTGGAACTGGAATAGCAGAATTTGGTAGTGTTCAGAAAAGTTCAGATTTACAGATTTTAACTAAATCAARTTTTATCTTCCCTATACATTTTTCCCTGTATTGTGAATATGCAAAATTGAGTACCAGAACTGCTGAAAAAATACCTGAGTCATAAAGAAGCCCATACAAATGGAAGAACTATTGATAGCCTTGAGCAAGTTGAGCTCAAGCTGGCTTTATTACCTTTAAAATGTAATTTATAGTTCATGAGGAGTTTTTGCTATTACAAAGCATATATTCTAAGTCTTTTCATCTCTTGTCTTTTCTCACTAATTCCTTTTTTCTCTTCTCTGATTTTCCTGTTGGTTTCTTCCAAATGCAGTCAGAAAAACTGTGCACATACAATAACAAATTTCTGGCAGCAACTTCTTGTTTGACAAGTCAGTTTTCAGGAGMTGGAAGTAATGATTCTTTTTCCCCCTTTATCACTGAGTTTCTTTTTTTTTTAATATTTTATTTATTTGTAAGCACAAATGGAAGTTCATGACAAATTAATGATTTATTATAATTTGGTATATGTTTAAGCACTTTTCAAATTAGAATATAGTTCCCTAAACCTGAATTCCTGTATCCATTTATTCTACAGTATTCTGTAGAACTTTTTACAGCACTTTTTAAGATGATGTGTATCTGTTTCAGGTTCTCATTTATGATAGATTTGGCCAAGACATAATCTCACCTTTGCTGTCAGTGAAAGAGCTGAGAGATATGGGGATCACTTTGCATCTGTAAGTATTTTTAAAAAATGGGGATTATAACTAAGTTCTACAAATTAAATATTGGGRCTGTATATGTTCTTTGCTTGTATTTTTGCACATAGATTTTACTTGTCTGCTGTCAAACATATGAAATCTTTAAGTACTATTGCAAGAGAGTTCTCATTTTTTTTTTTCCCAGATAACACTTACTTAGTCCGTTGTCATTCCTTAGCTGTGGTAATAGTCATGAAGAAATTTTGAACATACATGTATATTTTTACAAGTTTATTAACTTTCACTGGGTGAAGGCTGGAAACGAAGCACAATTTAACCTGCTGACACATCAGCAGAAACATGAGAAAAACATTTAAGCAGCTTGCTTTCAAGCAGGAAAGGCAAATTTGATAGAATTAAATATATAGTGCTTTTTTACCATGTCAGCAGTTCACATGTGAACTTYGCAAATGTAATATTTTAGCTTACGCTGAATGGATAATCTGTTTTTTKAAGATTTGTAAAGCCTTTTGTCAAGCTTTTAATAAACTTCAGAGACATCTATTAATATATTCAGCCAAAAAATATACAAATGTGATTTTTTTTATTGATAAAAATAGCTAAATACAGAAAAAATAGTAGGAAATTACATTTTTCTGTTCAAATAAGTAATTTCTTTTATAATTTTACACATATCGGAGAAACAACACATTAGAGATGTATTTTTTTCTTTCTGTCAGCCTTTTGCATTCAGATCGGGATGCTATTCCAGATGTTCCTGCTGTTTACTTTGTAATGCCAACAGAAGAAAATATTGACAGAATGTGCCAGGTAACTTGCATACTTGGTGTTTCAAAAGAGTCCGTACAACAGTGTGTGAAGTGATCCTGCACTCACCAGAGTGTGAGTCTTATTAGCACATATTTGTCAGAAAAAATATTATCCAAAATATTATGCAAATTTTCAATTTCCCAGCAAGTAGAAGGGTAAATATGTCYCTTGTTTCAGAGAGAGATTTCGAGGAGTGGAAAAACAAGAGTCAGTGGGTACAAATATTCCATTTAAGCATAAGAAAGAGCTGTTTTAATGAGGGTGGTTGMACACTGGAACAGATTGGCTGGAGAGTTTATGGAGTCTCCATCCATGGAGACGTTTAAAATGTGACTGGACACAATCCTGAACCACCTGCACAGTTTGACAGTCCTTTGAGTGGGAAGATTKGATTAGGCTAACCTCAGTTTTTCACATTCCTGGGGACGAGATGGAAGGTTGACATCTTTGGCAAAGAAAGGAGAAGAGCAAAGGGTGTTTCTGGTCAGCGGTAAGGTGTGGAMCAGTAATTGCTGTCTTTTAGCTTAAATGTAATTTCCTGGTTTTTTGCACTTCTGTGTTAGGTTATTTATATCTGGATGTGTAATCAAAACACAGTGTACAGAGCAGTGTATATGAACAGACAGCTAAGCACTTCTGAAAATTTAGTTTGACTGTGGACGACTGTAACATCACAGTAAAAGAATGATTTTTTTTCTTTTAATTAGTCAGGAATGTATTARTGTTTATTCAGGAAAAGGGTTGTGATTTTCCTTTCTTTTAGGATCTTCGAAACCAGCTTTATGAATCTTATTATTTAAACTTTATTTCTGCCATTTCAAGAAGTAAACTGGAAGATATTGCAAATGCTGCTATAGGTGCTAATGCAGTAACTCAAGTGGCTAAGGTAAGAAAGTCCCCWGTACCTAATGTTAACACCATTACAAGTGTTACTGCATTCTTATTGTCAGGCGTGTTGGGGAAGAAACAGAACCTACAGTCCTCCCCGTAATGCAGCTTAGTACCGTACTTCAGCTTAGTCAAAAGTCCAGGTGCTGCAAGACTTTTGTGCTAAATGATAGGAAGGGAAATACAGTGGTTTCAGAGTATTCCTGGTTTCATCTGCTGGCTGAGTGCTTTCAGTGCATATGTACTGGGGTGAGATTTTATGTCCTAAATACACAAAAAGAGCAGTATGAGTGCAGTTGTCATTTGAAATATTTTATATATACATGCTTTTACTGAGTGCACTCCGATACCTTTATGATTTAAAGGCATGTGTTTAGGGATTTACTTTTATTTTTGTTGAATGGCTGAACCAAAACTTGTAAATTAATAAGTAATAAATACATTCACTTTTTCTCACTCCAGTTAGTGCTACTGGCATGAGAGAAAGAACCCATTGTGAAATGAAATGAACACTTCTAGAATTGTTTAAGCCTTAGGTCCTCAGTAGCAGGAAATTGGTGTAGGACTGTATACTAACTTTCTTAAATTCATTTTTCTGTAGTGATATMTCATTAATAGTTTATGCTATAGAGAAATTTCATTTTTTTTGCTGAATGTACAGGTGTGTTACAGAAAAGTTACAATTCATGAGCTAGTAATGTCTTATTGTCAGATAGTGCTTTCTTTCCTGCCTGAGAGCTGAGTGCTGATCATGCTGTAGTCCTTCACATTCATAAAAAGTGAACCTATAATATTGAAATGTCCTTCATATATATTTTTCCAATACTTGGCTGTTAAAACTTGGTCCACAGAAACAGGTGAAGTTGGGCAGTTCTGGCACTTTGCAGTSCTCTAATTTTGTGTTAATTACTCAATCCTCACACAGGCTTTTTAATTCATAAATTATGTCTTGCATTTATTTCTCTGAATAGGTACTTCTGTAAAATCTAGCAGTGAATCACATACAGTTTCTTRATGCTTCATTTTGGACTATTCTGACCATTATTCCTTGATTTTTAGGTGTTTGATCAATATCTTAATTTTATTACTTTAGAAGATGACATGTTTATATTGTGTAACCAAAACAAAGAACTTGTTTCATATCGTGGTAAGTATAACTTTTATAGAAATTATACTGGAAAGTTTGAAGTTGAAATTTAATTTTGAACTTGTAGTCAGTAACAAGCAATTGCTTTATTTTGCTTTGATCTGCTCAAAATTCAGGGTAATCAGTTAGACGTGTAAGGGAAGCAGTTCTTAGATACACATTTCAGAATCCTTATCACATGGTGACTGTGACACTTAAAAATAAATACATATTCTTTAACAAAGCAAAACTGGTACAGACATTTATGAATAACACTTTATATGCAAGGAATAATATTGGAAAAATTACATGTTGTTTTCACATGTAGATAGTCACTGTGAGTGGGAAAGGGCATTCTAGACAATAAGAAGTGCTGATTGCTTCACAATGCTGATTGCTTCACAAGCTTCACAAGCATGAGCCAAGCATGTCAGCTTCTTTGTAAAGTTTCAGAGTTACAAGTGAAGTCAGTCTCCTTTTGGGGTTCTTTTTTTTATCTCGAGGCTTCTGTTCAATTTGGTTTGGATTCTAGCAGGAAAACCAAGTAGCTGCTTTAGGTCAGTTACCTTGGTGCTATGGCAGTTCAAGACAACATACGTACTAGTTGTCATAATTGTCCACATAATTTTCTTCCCTCCATTGTGTTGATTTTATGTACTCCTCTGACCCATTCAATGTGCTAAATGTTACAAATCCTAAACTGCCACTCCACCACTCCTGCCCCTTACTCAAACAGCTGGCTGTTACAGGGTACACTGTCTTGCTGTTTCTGCTGTAGTTTTGCTCTTCCTCTACTCTTTTTACATCAGAGCCAGTAGTTTCAGAGCTGCAGTGTGTCTTTAATTGACTCATTCCTTAAAAAATACCAACTTATTTGTGTGATCTACAAATGCAATGCAGGAGAAGAAGCAGAAGTCTATGTAGTTCTCACTTTGCAGCAGCTCCTCATTACTTTAGTGTAGTCACAGTGTCGCACAGTTAATTCCTGGTGCATTGAATACTCCCTAGTGACCAGTTAGAGATGAGAAGTCTCTGTATGTCTGATATTTAGCAGTGAGATTTCTCTACTCTCTTGCCTAATATCCAAAGTCAGTACTTTTCTTTAAAACTGGATCTGAGTTGTATCTCACACTGGGGATTGATTCCATTGGCAGAATAAAGCGCATATTTGTTGGAAAAGCAGATTTTATTTTTTTTCACAAAAGTGATGTTAAGAGTTTTAGTAATAATTGTTTTGTGGTGTGTTCCTGTGTATATAGAGATACTTAACTGACTGTCATCATATTCCTTMTGCTAACAAGAAATTTGAATTAAAATGACTGAAAATGTTTTGCACCCATCATTTTCTGTCTGGCTGCTTTTCCTCTCTTGTGCTGCTGAAATYTGCCACCATGTTTAAACCAGTGTASAAGTGGACTGTTTCCAAAAGCTCATTGAACAGAAATCTGATCTCCCACAGAGAGTGATGAGTTTTCCAATASAGTAGCTGATCTGTGTTATTGTGTGAGTTCTAGGTCTGACACAGACAGGCAGTAGGAGTGCAGGGCTGAGGAGCAAGTGGGCTTTTTTTGCCTGTGGAGAGTAACCTGAGCACAAGACTGCCGGTTTCATAATCTACAAAAATCAATGTAAACTTGAGGATAATGAAGGATGGCTGCTGTTCTTGCAGCAGCCACTGCCGCGTGTRCCCACAAATGTATCTGAATGGGTGAACTAAGAACAAATATAATAACAYAGATGAATTTTCAGTTTCCTGATGTCTTGGCTTTATGACTGCTTTTACAGAAGGTAATGTCAGGTAGGTCAAATAAGCAATGTAAAATCCTTCAATTATGTGAAAGACTTCCATAAACAGAAAGGATGCAATACATTCTCTCTGTGGACAAGAAGTGAAGAGTTTAAATTGCAACAAGAAAGTTTCTGATCAGATATTAGGAGCACTTTCTAACTTTGAAAATAGTGAAATACTAGATTACCTGTAAATCTTACGGTATTTTCATGARTGGGAAGTTCTCGAATTCGTTTAGATACAAAAATTACATGGGTTTAACTCATCTTTGGAAAGAAGAACTAATTAGATAATCCCTCAGGTTCCTTCTGGTTCTGTTTTTCTAAAACTATATAGAAGGAAGAATAAATGAACAATATTGGTGTAAAGTTAATATTTGACACATCCTGTTTCATGCTATTTGATGGCTTCTATACCATTCTCTACAATCTGGTTTAATTTTTTAGTACAACAGGAAAATGTAGGAGACCTATGTTTACTTTTCTGTAACAGGTGCATTCCCCATAAGCTTATTACAGTGGAGAGAAACATAGAAAACATGGTAGGACATTTTGCCAAAAAATTCTTAATTCAATTTCTCAAAGGTTGATCTAAGGACCAATAATATTGAATATCTGTGTTGGTTGCTGTGGTACATGAAAAGGAATGTGCTCATAAAATGTKCATTTTACACAAAATTGGAAGGCACTGACAGTATGCAGATTACTGGGACATCATRAAAGAGTACTTTAAACATAATAACAGGATAGGAATTAAATTTTAAAATGGGGAGACCATCAGTTGGAGATAACTACAGAATGATATTTGAAAATTTCAAAGCTTTGTCATTACAGAAAAATACAAATATTAGGAATGGTCTGCCTTTTTGGTTCCGTTATTTCAGAAACTTGAAACTTYTATTGCTGCTGTCAGCCTAGTCAAAACTTTGGCTTGCTAAGTATAGTTGCTGAAACATAATCCATGTCTCTAAAGTTCTTAGAGGAGAAAAGCTGGGAGGAAAAAATGCACCCTTAGAGAATGGTTATGGCTGGCCATGAGTAAATTTAGGATGGAAGGCTTGTTAATGTTTAGAGCTTTGAAATTTATTTTYAAAGAAAGAGGATAAGACATAAGGTAATTATGTGGGAAAATTTTAAAGGTCAAGTGAAACAAACAAGGATAGGATTTATTGCATGAATCCTGAGATAGTGCTTGMCATGAGATCTGTGATAAGATTTGGTTTGATGTTTTTTGTTGGCTATATTCTTGTCAGGGTTGGTTGTTTAAGAGAAGTGTTGCTGCATGTCTTCTGTTCTGACCTARATGTGGAAGGGACATTATCTTATCTGTCAAAGAAAATGTTTTATAATTTGGGAATTATCCCTAGTCTAGAGGCTGATGGTAAATTTATGAGGAAAAAAGAAGGAAACTCCATACAAARGGTAGGATTTAGAAATTTTAATACAGATAACTGCGTAATAAATTCTGTGTAATTACACAGTTAATTTTTGAGGATTTTTCCTGAAGAATGTTTGTCAAGTGGATGGCCATCTGTCATCTATAACGTGTTTCTTAGGAGGTTTTTATTGATGCAGTAATAACACGATCCAAAAGATAYGTGTGCAGTCAGAGAGATTTGGAAATAATTGTGTGGTGATTGACCTTAAACAGTAAACAATAATTAAGTTCTCCCAATTTTTTTCTCAGAAGAAAAAAAAAGGTGTGGGAACTGTTAGATGTGCTAAGAGTGGCATTTCAGGATGTAATCTCTTCTGTAACAAAAGCTGTTGACTGCTAACAGCCATCAGATAAGAAGAGGATTGCTTTCTCAGTATTAAAAGTGGCATATTTAACCCTGTTCTTAACTTTTTTCCACACTGTTTTAGCCATTAACCGACCAGATATAACAGACACAGAGATGGAAACTATAATGGACACTATTGTTGATAGTCTCTTCTGTTTTTTTGTTACACTTGGTAAGTTTCCAAATTCTAGCATATTTTCCATATCCARTGAGATAACTAGAAGTCTAATAATTTCACGTAGAAAATTAAAAGTGGGATTACATGTGTGTCCAAAACCTCAATAATTCATAGAGTGGGATAATGATCTTCCTCAAATTATTGCTTAGGCTGTCCTTCTTGTGAGTGTTCAGTATCAATGGGAAAAGAATACTGAAATGCAAAGGTTTGGATTCACTGTTTTAACGAAATCCTAGTTTGCAGTGAAGATAATAGTGCGTTTAGTTTGAATTGTAATTCTCAAAAAAAACCTCAAAAAAATCACAGAATTAGAAGAAAAAAATTCCTCACATAAGCCCTGCAAAGATTTAACTGAAATGTCTCAAGCAATAGGAAGACATATTAAGTTTGCATATTTTATTGTGCTTTTCCTTGATGCTTAGCTGATTAATTTTTCATAGTGAGGACATGTAACCTGACTTCTACTTGAAATTGGTTTGTCTGAAATAGCTTTCCTACAAATGGTAAACATTTTGAAACCTGAAARCCAGTGGAAAATGTACTTTTATAAATAGCATTAGTGTGCAGTGAGTTGTAACAGATATATAATGGTGAGGGTGGGATGATACTCTAGTGTTCAAAGGACTTCTGAGCTTTTGAAATAACTTTTAATGCTTCTGTATGAGATAGTTAATATACTCTGGAGGCGACAAACTTTCTTTCTAGTATACGCTGTATTTCTCATAAATTATTGTATGGGGTATTCACTTTTGTAAAACTTTATTAATATTTTTGTATAGTAGTTTTCATTTCATAGATAAAGACTGACTGCAAGAGAAAATTTTAATGTGAATTTGTGTTTAATCTCAGAATGTTAGTAAAAATTGTTTATGAAAAGTAATTTATAATCTGAAAATTACAATGCACGTAGAAGTCAATGTATCTTTTATTAGGCGCTATTCCTATAATCAGATGCTCCAGAGGAACTGCAGCTGAAATGGTGGCAGTGGTAAGAACTGTTTTTCTAAACATCTATCACTGTTTTGAAACTTTCCAAACATCACATTTACTTTTCTCAGTACTAGGCAGAGAGCTAGTGTCATTGTATCCTTTTCCCTATGAAGGAAGTGAAACTGAAAAAGAGAGGCATCTATTTTCCTTTCCGATTTCAGTTCCATGGAACTCTTCTGTAGAAATTGAATCAGATGATGAGAAACTTAAACATAAATAATTATTCCTGATCTAGAGTTTATCAAACGTTTTCTGGTAGCCATKATAATTAAGATTCATCTACACAGTTTTAAACTGTGCTGTCTGGCCTGTGCTTCTCTGTTGCCTCAATAAGAAATTTTTATCTATCTTACCAAGAAACCCTGTAAGTACAAGAAATTTTCACTATATCAGATTAAACTGATCTTGATCAGTTGAACTTGATCATCAGATAGGGGTGAAATGACCAAACTAAATCACAATTGAGAAACTTTACAGAACAGTCTTCATTAGGATTCACTGCAGTTCATCTTCTTCACATCTTGTTAGTGAAACAATAGTACTGGTTAAACCTAAGCATGCAGTGTGCATGCACTCATATTGAGGATCTCATTTTTATTGAACACTTGTTTGGCAGTGTCTGACAGCCCAGTTTGCTGCTTCTGCTGTGATTGCCTCTTGATGCCTCCTACTGGAATTTGCTGCTTGCATGTTTAGGGAAAGGGYGCTCCTTGCCTCGAAGGAGATTAATAGACACTTCAGTGTAGTCCTGGACATAGGTATAAATGCTGCAGGGAGAAAATAGAAACAAGATTTCTTTCTTTCCCATGGGCACTGAACCTMGTCTTCCTGCAGCAGAGACATTTATAAACTACAAAAACAGCACAATTAATATTTTAATGTTGATTATGTAATGAGGTTAGAAAACSATTGCTTTGTTAAAAGTGGTTTTGTTTTTCCCCTCCTCAGAAATTGGATAAGAAGCTCAGAGAGAATCTAAGAGATGCCAGAAACAGTCTTTTTACAGGTGACACACTTGGAGCTGGCCAGTTCAGGTATTGTGTTAGTTATTTTATTTTTCATATTTCAGTTATCTGAGTAAGTCGTTGCTGTACTGAAAGCTGTATTTACCAGAATTTGGTTCAAATTCTATGTTAAAGGATTTATTTACTCTCAAGGGAGTTTTCCAATCTCATARCATAACCCGTTTAAAACTTTTATACCTGGTAGGTGTACAGTCCTAGGACAGTAAGTCAAAAATTACGTTATGAATCAGTTAATTTAGTTCACTCTAAACCCAGCAAGAGCTGAATTTCCCAAATGCACTCTGTTTACGGGACTATGAAATGCAGTTGGATGTCTGAACATACCTGTTGGCAATTCTTAGTCCTTTAAAAGAAAGGAAGACCCATTTTCTCACTTGTGAACACTGTAACCATTTGAGTTATGTCAAAAGCAAGTGTTTCTCAGCTGCTCCCTATCTTGACCAGAGGAGGATTGCTTAAGGACTGCCACTTGGACAATTAAGGTCTGTTAAGTCATGATTATTTGAATCCTTTATGGGTGCKTGCTGATAATGTGTTCTCAGTAGGATGCTTATATACTCTTGCCCCCAGATAGCTGAATACTCCACAAGCTGCCTTAGGAAGGTGTGTCATGGGAGCTTACTCTGTACATGAAAAGAAGATGTATTTATAATCTCCTAATTGGCTATGAAACAGTTACCATACTTTCATCTCAGATTAGARCTTTATCTTAAGATCAGAACTTGGATGAAAGGTGCAAAAACATCAAAGCTGGCAAAAGGGATGAAATTGAAAGGAGAGAGAATAGTTGTGAAAGTTTCTTTATTTTCACAGGAATTGAATTGTAACCACTGCTTTTCCTTCAGAGGCATAGCTTGTTTTCCTGATAGTGTAGTATCCTTGGCCTCAAAATTAAAATGCAAAGTAAAGGAAACATTGGAAACTTTAACCAGTTGCATGGCTTCAGGTCTTCAGTTTGGTTTTCAGAATCAGGTGACTGAGGCTCTTAAGACTATGTGTTTAAGCAAATACACTTACTGCAAAGAAATCCACAGTATGGAATTTAAATGCTTTTASTCCATTCAAATGCACTTTAACTGGCGTGTTTGTAGGGGTGATGTGCTTAGAAGAAGTGGTTGTAGTAATGTTCTGTCAGCTCACAGTCTTCCTGTCTTCACTATAAATTTTTCATGTAGACATGACCTAAGACCTTTAGGCATAAATGCATTCTTTTATCTCAAAATTTGAGTATTGATAGAATTACCACAGTGTATCTCAGAAGTTAATGATGTCTTTATTTCATGGACTTTATATACAAGCAAAGTGAAAATAGAATTAAAAATCCTTGGAAGTGAGATTTTATATTTGAGGATCATAATGGGGATTAAGGTCAAATATTACCCACTGAAACAGTTGTTTGGAATTCAAATGTGTATCCACACAAAAATRTATTGATTAAAACCTAAAAAAAAATAGTTGCTGTTCAGTGTTTTGACTTCCACTCAATATTTATATGTTGATAATTTCAYTTAGTACAAAATAAAATAATCTTTTCATCATGACTAAGATCTGATTCATGGAATTTATCATAGTGATTAGCCCAAGTTACTTTGGGGAAGGCTGGATGAGCTCAGCAGTTGGCAGTGTTGCTTTTATGTTGAAATATGATGTGGAAGGTRGCTGGTACCACTCAGGATGTTACTGGGGTTGGTTTTAACCTTGTTTGAAGAAGTACTAACACAGTGTCATCTTTTCAGCTTCCAAAGGCCCCTATTAGTCCTTGTTGACAGAAACATAGATTTAGCAACTCCTCTACATCATACTTGGACATACCAAGCTTTAGTGCATGATGTTCTGGTAAGGATAAATCTGATTTTGTTACCAAAACTATTTTTTCATTCATTTTGTTGTTAAACTTATTACCAGTTTTTCTCTTAATCCAAAATCTGTTTTGTCTGTTTTATTTGGAAGTTGCTTTAGTAAAAAACAACTTGGAAGGTTTATTTAGTAATAATTTCTAAAATAGTTTAAAAGTTGAATTCTTGATATCATCAGAAGATAGCTAATTCAGCAATCCTGACTTWTTCTTCAGTAGCTCATGATCTCCACTATCCATAATATCCAAACTACATTAAGTGCAATTCAGTTTCGAAAAAGAAATACTTTTAATGTGWTTTGAAACCATTTTGGATTTACTTTGAACTTTAAAAAATACCTTTTCCCATCTTTCTCCACAAGATGGTGTAGGTATTCAGTGCAGTGTAGTATACGATCCTACTATAAGGAATCTAAACCAGATTTTTTTTAAAAAAAAATTTGGAAATTTAGATAATCTTAAACTGCCTCAATTTCCTTATGGTATTTYATAAAACCAGTAGTAGAAATGTACTTGAATGATCACTCATTCTGTTTACCACAGAGTTGCATTTTGTGTATAGGTGTAGGTGGAGTAAACAATCAAAAAAAGGGTTATCTGGAGGCTTTTGTTGTACTGAGACTTATTTGTGAAAATMATTTCAATATGTAGCTTTGTAAATTATTTTGGATTTATTATTGAGGCTTTTGGAGGCATACATGAAATATGCACATGTGTGTTGTTATACAAAGTGGATGACAGACTGTATAGTCATACATAGAGTGTTGTCCAGAAGCTTGCATTGCTACAATGAAAATATTTCAACATTAATGGGATGTTTTAGGGCACTTGTAAATTCTGTTTTATGCAATTAATTCCTTATGACAAGTCCCTTCCTCTTAAACTTAAAGGTGCTTAATACAAATAAACAATTTTTGGCCTATTTCTTCAGGAAAGGCATATCTGAAAAAAACACAGTTTGCACCGAGTTTTCTCAAATAAGTGTTGAATTGGCTAAAGACTTGCAGATAAAAGTATTGAATTTCTACAGGTTTCTTTTTGAAGTAGTGTTAGGTGGCCTAAGGCATGAGTTGGGGTAAGACTTCAGTTCATCAAGGTGCAGAGTGATCAAAGATGTACTGGGAACTGAGGACAGCTAATGCTACAAATACGGTGGGGTATTAGAATAATACTAGAAGACTTACTCGAGGATCATTGGATCTCTGTTGCATCAGGCTTCARTAGTTTTTGCTGGAACAACTTGTTAAATGTTGCATCTTAAAAGTGCCCAGGATTATGAATTTGTTTAGTAAAATTGTAAACAAGTGATCTGTGGTTCCATGGCAAGGGCAAAAGTTTAATTTCAAAACCACTCAAGTTATTCACCTTAAAGCCAAGCCTGCCAAACTCTTCACATACTTCATAACTCATGAAAAAACTGTGGTAGTCTTTCAGRAGGCCATAAATTGTTAGCATGAAARTGTTACCAACATGTTAATTATGTAAGCTATACTTTCCAATAAATGTTTTTTTGTTTAAGGTCTCAGTTGAAATAGTCCAGGAATTCTGTGCAGTGTTGAGCTATATGCTAACCAAGTCACAAAGTTGGGTGSTGCATCCATTGAGGTTATAACTGTGCTATTTCTGCACATAAATAGGCTTCCCTGAAGATTTTCCTATTTCTAAATAAAAAACTTTTCATCAGTGAAAACAGAAAAATGGGAGGCATGGGTAGAAAGCCTTATAAGGACAAAATGGGGAGTTGAAAGGAGGAACACTAATCAATAAGAATTCTTTTAGGAAAACTTGTAAATGCCAAATCTGACTTGAAAACTCAGGTCACTTGTGAGATAAAATGGCCAAAACATAGATCTCCATTRAAAACTACAGCTAAATTTGCAATCAAATTAATTTCTTTTTCTTCAAGTTTTTATCAAATATGGATAGTTGAAAAATACTATCTTTTTGTGAAACATTAAACGCCTTGTAAGATGAGGTTTCTGCTCATCTACTGCATGTGTTTCCTTTGAGTATCTACTTGGTTTTGTTTCTGTTCTGGCATGGATCATTTGTACTATTTAAATCTCTGCCAAGGAATAACTAGAAACATTTTAAAACTTTATGTGACAGTTTCACTCACAGTGATCTATTTCTGTTACTTTAATGAAAATAATAAAGTCAAGTTTTATTTCTGGAAAAATATCTAGTCCAAAAGGTTCATAACAGAATCTGTATAGTTGAAGATTTGACTCTATCATTATTTGCCAAATGAAGAGCATCTTTGAAGTTTCAAATGTTTTTGACAAAGAACTAGGACAAAGTCAGCAAGTGGAATACTTGTTAATAACCTTTGTTGAAAACCAGAGAGATTAAGTAAGCTGTAGAAAATACAGAGCAGTCTTTGGCAATGGGGGAAAGAATTAGAAGACCTACAGGGAGCAGTGTGGTGACATGTGAGCATAATAGTGTCCTCTAGGAAAGCAATGTAGTTTTTGTGTTCATACATCTGTAAAAGAAGAAAAGTTATATGAAAAAATAGCTTTGTGGCAAAGTTTTGCTTTGTCATGCRTTCATTGCTTTACTAGTGTTTAAAAAATAAGGGAAAGGGCTGTGAAGGTGTAGCTGAGTAGTCCTCACAGTGTGTAATTCTCTTGCTGATGTTATGAGCATCTTGGCACCTTTGACACATATGTTGTAGTTATGTAAGGGAATTTCAGCCTTAGAAAAGTTTTTTGTCTGTAACATGAAAACTTCTACTTMAAAGTTTTGGGGAGCTGTTAGAGCACAGTTTTTGCTGAAAAACTTATTTTCTGTGCAGAAAACCATTCAAAGTTCAGTGTCAGAAGACTGCATCTGATAATCAAATGTCTTTACTTAACATTTCTTGTCTTGTTTGGTATTGAACTGGTTCAGTATTAACAGTTCAGTAACTGTTAGTAATTTTGGAGTTCTTATATTGCTGTTGTTATTATCTAGTTAACTAGTACACTGTTTCCTGCCTTCTTATGAAGTTCTAATAAATAGCTGTGTTGACTTTTTTTAGAAAATATTCTAGAAGATATTTTGTTGACTATAAAAGACTTGAATAAACAATTACACTGTCAAATATTTRCAAAAGGTTCTTCTTTGTTTTAGGATTTCCATTTGAATAGAGTTAACTTGGAAGAATCAACAGGAACAGAAAGTTCTCCAGCAGGTGCTAGACCTAAGAAAAAAAATAAGAAGTCCTATGATTTAACTTCATCTGATAAATTCTGGCAAAAGCATAAGGGCAGGTAAGCACTAAAGGTACACAGTTTATATTTGTTTAGTCARTATGAATTCTAAGTATTCTTCATATATGATAGTTCTATTTTTAAGCTTATTTGAAAATATTTTCTAAGTCTGGGGGCTTTTTTTTTAAGGTTCATTGGGTCTGGCTGAAATGGAGTTCATTTCCTCACAGCAACCCTCRCAGTGCTGTGCTTTGCATTGGTAACAAGAAAGGTGTTGCTAACACAGCAGTGTTTTGGCTGCTACTGCACAGGGCTGGCACAGCATCAGCGCTGTCTCCCCCAACATTCTCGTTCTCCAGCATGCTGAGGGTGGGCAAGAGCTTGGGAGGGGCACAGCCAGGACAGCTCACCCAAACTGACCAAAGAGATACTCCATACCATACCATACCATTCCATACCACTGTTCAGCAGTGAAAGCTGAGAGAAAGGAGGAGGAAGGATGGGGTATTTTTTAATGTTTGTGTTCTGGAGCAACCACTCTGCCTACTGAAGCCCTACATTCTGGAAGTGCCAGATGTTGTCAGCTGGTGGGAAGTAGAAAATGAAACCTTCTGTTATCATTTGCTTTCACACATAAGCTTTGCTTTTTTGAAGTGCCTATGTCTTGACCCACGAGTTTGGGGGGCTTTTTCCGCCTTGCTTTCTCCCCACCTGGTCTTGCTGAGGACAGAAGTGAGAGAGTCACCTGGTGATCACGTGGCATTCAGCCTGGATCAACCCACTAGATAAGAAATTATCATTGTCAGTATTCATTGTCCATTATACTTGTCTGTTAGGTTTTTGTTACAGGGCTCAAGGTTGTTCTTGCCAAAATTACAGTATTGAAAGCAGTGAATGTATCTTAGAAAGCTTAAGTAAATCTACAGTAAAATGTAATTATTTTCAGTGATTTGATACTGCTGCATTATCTGTATATTGGTATTTCCAAAAAAGTTTTCATTGTATGGTTCTAGTATTCCAGTTGGTTGATTTAACTGCGCCTAATGCAGAYTATTGCATTAGTCCTTTTCCAGAGGTGGCAGAGTCTGTTCAGCAAGAACTGGAATCTTACAGAGCCCAAGAAGATGAAGTCAAAAGACTTAAAAGTATCATGGTGAGTTTTATCACCTGTATGTTCTTTATGTAAAGCATAATAGGGCTTGTAAAAGTGCTTAGCTAACTCTCTCATCTCATGGACAAAAAGAATCGGTGCATGCTGAATTTTAGGCATAATACAATCTTAAGAGTAGGGCTAAAAGTACCATATTTCATGAGAAGTTTCAATTTCTTGTTCATTGTTGTTGCAATTATATAACTTCCATGCTAACTGAAAAATGCAATCCAGACATTAATACCAATATGAGAAAATAGATTCTAAATATACTAMTGTATCTGCAAGTGTGCTATTTGTATTTATTATGATTATTTTTATTCCTGTTTTCAAACCCTTCTTCAAAACCCAGGGTATAGAAGGGGAGGATGAAGGAGCAATAAGTATGCTTTCAGATAATACAGCCAAGCTAACTTCAGCTGTCAGGTAAGTAGTTAATAATGCATTACTGTTCAATTAACTGTGAACCATTTCTAMTTTTTTCTGTCTTTGCAATTTCAGTGTTCTTTGAAAAAAATGTTTAAATGTAGGCTATTCWGCTCTACAATGTAGTTTAAATGCTTTATAATTCTGAAAAAGTTAAATGCAATGTCATAAACCAATGCTTGCACATGTGACTTCCACAATGTGTGTGGCTTTGGGGTGTTTCTTCAGCAATGACAAGTAATCTAAGTGCATCACAGATTTGCTTGCACTCTTCTGAAACCCCCAATTTCTGCATTCTTTCATAAAAAAATGCAATTAAATCCACTTCTTCTGATACCTGTTTGCTTTGCACGGAGTAATTACATTTTGATTTATGTAGTTACTGTAACATCTGTTCACAAGATTATAGTCATTAAGAACTCTGAGAAATTTACTCTCCTACTTYTGGAGACCTAACCACCATGGATGACATTGAAAGTCTGAGATTTACCTTCTTTCTCATTGTGAGTTTTTGATTCCACTGATGCCTTCAAGAGGGGAGGTATATAGTTTGCTGCCTTAATCACTAAGACGCAATCATAAGGAAGAAGAAACATTAATTTTTATGAGCATAGATGGGGTGGTATGCCCAGTATTCTGTGAAATCCAGCATGCCTGCATTAGTTATCTCTTAGTGAATTTGAGAAGTTGTACACTCTCGTTGGCATTTCGCTGGAATTACAAAGGAAGTGTGATCAGACAGTTTCCAAAAAGCAAGCAGGTATTTCCAAGTTCCCCGTATAAGGTTTTCAAGTTTCATAATTTTGTCAAGTTTTTGTAACTTCTCAAGATGCTGGTTTTCAAGTCAAGGCATTGGTTTTTCACTCTAATCTTTAGAATTTTGCTGAGAAGTCCAGATACCATTACAATCTTCAATTTAGGCAGGTTTCTGCTGTAAGAGTTGAGCTAGGTTCCATTGCTTTTCTGTTGCCCGTTTTCTGAAGGTTATTTTTTCCTGGTTTTGCAGCTACTAGAAAACTTTGAGATATCTTAGCAATTAGAAGGAGGTTCTAACATTGAGGATCTCCTGTGTTTTGGTTATTCTTTTTTGTTTTTTTGAAATGCAGTCCTTTACAAAGGCAGTGCTAGTCACCTTCTAGCTGTAAGGTCATTAATGGTCAATCATCATAGGTAACTTTGATTTTATAATTGCTTAAGGAAGGAAAGAAAGTATGTCTACTTAACTTCCTGGTTCTTCAGGACATGCAGTTAGTGTCATTAAGTGCCGATCATCTGTGTATTATTCAGCTGAGTACAACACTGACTGTCCAGGGTGCTTTTGGTTGAGAATGTGTATAGGTGCTGAGACGTCTTTTATAAATGTGACTCCCAAGTGCCAGCAGTGAAAATCATGTAGATCGTAACACTAACAATTTTTCTATAAAGTAAGCTTAACCATTCAATTTCCCGTGTCACAAAAGATAAGATTTCAATCACAAATCCTCATAGAAAATTGTGTTTTATTCAGAAGCACATTTGATAAATTCCAGTGCATCCAGGGGCTCTGTATTTATTTGACAGATACTGTTRTTTAATGTAATTTTATAATTATTTTATGTTCTTTGACAGGTATGACTTGATAGATGCTGACACTTTTGTATATATCAGAAATAAACTAAACATAGTAGATAATTTGTTCAGGTTAGCAGTGCACATACRTATCTTTTGTTGATCACACGCTTTCAATGGGAGTATTGAATTACCCATATTTTTTGCTAGTCAGGGTAGAAACCTGTTTTACTATATTACGTGTGACTAATGTTCTTCTGTTATGTTATTCTGTTGTGGTTATGAGAATCATTACATCTATACCTTGTCATTTTTTAGTTCCAATCCAATTCTGTAATTTTTTATTTTAATAGCCTTTAGAGGTCCTTTCCAACCCAGACTGTTCTGTTATTCTATATATGTTTTAGTGCCTACTGTATACAATACACAATTCAACGAACAGTGCAAATCAGCAGGTTAGTTTGTATTTAATTTCTTCAGCTCTCTTCCAGAACTTCTGGAAAAGAAGAGGCTCATTGATCTTCATACAAATGTTGCAACAGCAGTTTTGGAGCACATAAAGGTACAACTGCACTTCGAGTTTTCTATCAGTAGTACTTTTTAACTGAAGGGATATACTTGAGACCGTGAAGATAGGAAAGTGAGCCTTCTCAATGGTGATACTCTTTTAGAATTCACTGTGTAGCATTACTCAGTGTTGAAAGATGAGAGAGAATGAGTTTTGTCAGAATTTACTAGTATACTCTTTTTAAAGGTGGCAACAACTGTTATTACAGATTGAAGTCTTTCTAAAATAAGTTTATGATGGAAATGTTTCATTTATTTTAGAGGTGTGTCATGACAATTCATGACTTCAGTCTAAGCAGTCCTCTGTTGTGTACACGTTTATCAGAAGTGTACTCTTGGCTGCTCACCAACGAAAAACTCATACCCAGAGATGGGGCAGTAATGATGCAAGTTACTGAAGTGGTCTTTCCAGCAGGGTCTATGTTAGATGTCTTGTGCATAATTTAAGCACTTCAGAAGGGTGTTTGTCCTCTTTTCTGTTTTAAGTCTRCTGCTCTTGTGTCTGAGATCTTGCAGAGAGTTTAGTTTGAAGTGAAGGCCTTGGTACTGGTAGGATAACTTGGAAAATGGATTTGTGTTCACAGTATGAAAACAGAAATGGTAGATGAGACTTTTAGAAAGACTGACATTCTTTTCAGTTTTGGAAAATGGTTCAAATACCAAGTCTCACTGAAAATCAATACTTAAAAAGTTTTACCCTAAACTACTTAAAATTCATGGAAGGCAATGTGTTTTGAAGCTGAGCCTAGCTTTAACATTTGTAAAGGATGCAAGATTCTGTCTTCAGTTATTATTGCTACTGAACTTTTAGAAGTATTATATATCAACAAAGGGTTCATTCTGAAATGTAATGAGTAAATTAATTTTACACATTTGTGAAGTTGGAGAAGAGATACAAGTGTCTATGCTTGGCTCATTACTGTAGGGGCTAGTTTAAGGACTTTTGCACTATTAGGCATGTCRATTTTCATATCTGTCCATTTAACAGCTGTACATTAATACCACTGAAAAATACTGAAGTCAACAATATTGATATTTGATGTCTGTAAATTCACTTTTCTGAGAAAGATACTGGCATGATAATGGCAGGCCTAGACCAGTAGTATTTTATGGTTGGTTTCAGAGCAAAATGTAAAATTGCAGTAACATCTGTTTTGTCCTATTGGCACTGGGCTGGAGTCAGATGCATTAGATGATAGCAAGATATTTGGTTACCTAGAGGTGGAAGGAATTGCCATATATAGGCCCTGACCTAGCCCTTGGCTTGCTGCTCTGACAGGGAGCCMGCCTGCAATTAGGGAGCTCCCTAGGAGTGGTGATCCATTCCTCCATGATTCTTAATTCTGGTACTGCAAAGTGATCAGTTTCTTTACCTTCTTATTGTATAACTGTCAAAAAAAAATTGCGAGACAAATGGCCACACAGTTTCTTCAGTATATTGATGTGTTCATSTCTATCATATTTTCTTCTGATTTAGAAAGCATCAGTTCATTTCCAGATATTTAGGAAACTGTCTTAAACTAATGCAGACACACGTGTTTTTCAGTTAAAAWTTGCCTGTAGTAGAGCCCTTTAACAGAATGAATGTAAAGTTTATTCCAACTGCTTTCTCCTGGCCATTTTCTCCTCTCTTTTCACCCTCCAGTGTTAGAAAAAGTGTCTTTTTATCTTGAGCTGTGGAATTTTAGTATGCAGGATGTTATGCTACCTAATGGATTCCTCAGAAATGCTCTCCAAAAAACAGTGTCTGAGCCAGTACTTTTAAAAGAAATTCTGATGACACCTTGATTCTGGTTAATGGGTTTTATATATCATTTAATAATGAAACCAGATTGTGATAAGACAGATTTTTTTTTTTTGCAAGTGCTGAGGTCATGAGGCGTTAGTGAGGCACCATGCTCTTCAGGTTATTATATTTTCACTTCTAAAATGATCAGGAAGTGCAATTTGCTTTATCCATTATGTTTTTTTACTAGATTAATTATTTGAGCATTTTTCTTCACTGCAATATAAGAATCAATGCAAAGAATGCATCAAGGCCTGTTTTAGATATACTAAGTGAATTTTTGTTGTGGTCATATTTTAATGTTCAGTTTACAGCTGCTTTCCACATTCTCTTGGATCATTTTCTAAGACACAGCAAGAGGAAACCAGAAATTAATCACATACTTAGGGGTCCTGGCAGTTTTTTGGCTTAAGTGTTTAGTGAAATAATGGAAAGTATGCATCATTTTTTCATGAAGCCAACCATCAAGTATTTATTGTCAGTGCTTAGAACAAATGCATCCTTGTCTTGCATTTATTGGTCTTCCTCTGCTGAAGCTGGTGACCTAAGGACTGGACCCAAAAGATTTAGGGTTGGAATTACCTATCTAGCTGCTTTAGAGCTTCAAGTAATGCTTATCTTTRCATGTCATTCTAATATGAATTGGATTGCTGACGTATGTTAAGTCATTAATTTAAAAAGGTGTACTCACCTACTTTTCTAAAATGACAGTTGAGGGAGGGTAGATTAAATAACTTCCTGCTAGAATTCTACAACATGTGAATTTAAGTGGCAGATTTTTATGTGAATAATTTGGTGTCTTAAATACTCGTGTTTGTTTGGTTTCGGGGTTTTTTTTTCTAATACCTACATAATTTTATTAATGTATCTCTGCTTTTGCTTGATCTCAAGGTCTGATGCTTTGAATGACTCCTTTATTAGGATTGACAGTAGCCTTTCAAATGTTCAAATTCATATTTTGTAAAGGAATTCCTCCATTTTAAAAAAAAGTTACGTTTTTGTCTTACACCATGTGAAAAGAAATGGTACATGTTTGTGAAATACACATGTCACAATGGGTCAGGCTGTTTGTCTGTAATTCAGAACTAATAATTCAGTGAGTTTCTAGTAAAAACAGCTTTTTCTGAGTTCAGTTACAGTGACCTTCCTATCACCATTTTGTGCAGTTCAGTGAAAGGGAATTGACTGTGACTGCCTCTTCCAGTCCTCTTGCAGAGTTTCTCTTCCTCTTGATAGAAGCATGCTATAATTACCTGACCAGCYTCCCTCATTCCCGAGTTATTTCTGGTCGTTTTCTGTCAGCATCCGTGGGATGGGCTTCAGATAGTTTCTTAGGAAATGTCTTCTCTCTTCTGCATATTTTTTCTCTCTAAAATTAAGAACTTTGGTAGTGTAAAGAGGATAGAAGAACTTCCAGCAAGTCTTTACGAAAATGTCCATCTAAGAGATTTTAATGAATCTTGCTTCCATTTATTTGCTTTAAAAAGAAGGAATTTTGTGTTCRTTTTGGAGTACAGTGTTCAAGTTGATTTTCCCATGCACTTCAGTAATTTTTACTATAATAAGTTTTGGCTTACAAGCAGCCTGTTTCTAAAGATGGTAAGCTGAAAGCTTTCACAGACATTTTTTTTTTTTTTAAAGCTGAAGTGTGGCACTTTAACTGCAGTAGAGAATCCCGTCCCTGAAATGTCAGCCAGAAAGATATCTTGGATGTGATTGGTGTGAAACAACAAGATGTCATAGCAGAAAGTCAAGAGCAGGAGGCAGAAAAGGAATAATCGTAAATGTAAATGTATCTTTATTTATTATTTTTTATTATTATTGATTTTCTTCACTTTGCCAGTTTGGCACCCATAAGAACCTCTTCTTTGCTGTGTTTTTCTGTTGAATCTACAGGATTGTTTAGCTCCTATTCCCCAGCTTTTCCTCTTGGCATGTCTATGAGTTTGCCACTGAGTGAGCAAAATTGCCCTTACTTAAATTAAATGGGAATCTGCTTCTTATCAGCACCTCTTAGACAAGTTGGCTCTTCAAGAAGTAACTGTCTCATTGAAGTGGCATATCTGGGATATCTGTCAAAAGGTAATTAGTAGTGTTTAAGGCTATTCAGTAACCCATATGAAAGTTGATTAGGTGTCCATCTACTTGCTAGTGTAAGAAAAATATTGCCCTAATTAGGACCTTTGGTAGTAACTTTCATTTGTTATCAAGTGAAGAAGCAGCTGAATACACCTATAATATTGATCCATCTCTTTAGTTTTGTCACATCAGAAAGAGTCTCAGAAGTTTTATATTGCTGCTTTCTTGTGATGTCCCTATTGTAAATAGAAAAATATAAACCAGTGGATACAAAAAAATGTGGACCTGAAGTTTTAGGATTTTCAGTTTGGGCTTTTTCCYCAAAGAGTGCTAAGTTCACACTTCAAAAGTAGTTGTGCAGAATTTTTTAAGAGTGAGTGTACATGTATCATTGATGTTTCAGTTTAGGCTCAAAGTATAGCACATATATGCAAGCAGTGAATCTTCTTTGCTGCTGTAAATCTGTTTTGTTCAGCAGTCATGGTCAAATAGTCATAAAGTTGCACGTGGCTGAGAAGAATTTTACCTAGCTTGTGCTCCAAGTAAGTTAACGATTGTGGATCTGTTCTTAAAATTCAAAGTAATTAATGTTTGGATTGCACAATTTTATTTAGAAGTTGATCTGTAAACAAATACAGAGAATTAGTGAATCTTTTTATGTTGTACATTTTTACATGMCACCTGAATAAATCTCTCTTGAACAAATCACCAGCTAAGATAATACAGGCTTTGCCAAATTCAACAGTAATATATTTAACTTTATAAGATCAAGTTTCCACATTTCAAGACAATCCCTTTTTTATTGAAAACCTTTTGTCTGAGAAAAGTATTTTAAACTTAAAAACATTGCATTAACTTCACATAACAAGATACAAATGTATTAAAAATACAAAAAGCAAGGGAATGCAATGGAAAGATTCAAAAAATTGTAGTTGTTTCTTTGTAATTTCTTTATGTCTCTGGAGAGATTTAAGGAAACACAGATAATCTTCAAGATGCTGTAGAACTGAGGTCTCAGATGKTTTATCTGATACCAAATTGCATCTGATGTAAGGTCTTGGAAAAAGGCTGGTAGTTTTGTTCTATTCAGACTAAACTACTCTTCTAACATAACCTCAAGGTAAATACAGCTTGAAAGAAGCTCTAGACCTTTTTTTTTTAAATTTTTTTAAAAAATTTTCATTTCATGCAACTTCTCTGTGGTCATAGTCACTATGACAATCAACAGGAGACATTCTTCTGCCCCTAAAAGTAGCAGGGGGTCATTTTTGAGCTCTCTTCATGATAATTTACTTTATAAGCTGTAATTACAAGCATCCATAAAGGCTTTAAATTAAATTGTTGTTTTGCATGTAACTGCTCTTCTCAAGAACTTCAGTAAGTGGTGACTGAGAGATGGAAGCTTTGGATAGCTACCTGCATCATAAGCTGATCGCCAAATGCTTTCAATATAAAAATATTCTTGTAATTCATATCTTTTTGACTTTGTTTTCTCCTCTCCAGCTTTTTTTTTGAGGAACTTACAGTAGTCAGAAGGTTAAATATCCTAATATCCTTAGGCTAGAGAAGTACCTTTTTTTTTCTTTTTGAGGGGTGGTAAAATATTTCTTTTAATTCATTTTCTTATTTGTGATCTCAGGAGTAATTTTAGTAGATAGAATTCAGAAATGTATGGAAATAAGACTTTAAAAATTTTTGTGTACTGTCATTACTACAACCACTGCACTGGATAAAAGGTACCATAGCACTTTTAAATGCTTGGGCATTATCAGGCAGAATTTCTCAAATCCTTAACCCAAGAAAGCACAGGTGACTCACCCTGGCAGTGTCTATTCGATCTCACAGAACGTATGATGTGGAGCTGACACACTTCCAAAGCAGTGGGATGGAGATTGTATTGGCTCAAAAAGGAGACTGGCAGAGTCAGAGCTGAAGGTGTTCAAAAATCAGGATTCAGTTAGTTACCAGATATGAAGGTTTTGTAAGCTGAGTGGCTGTAACATTTGTTGTGAAGCTGCATTTTAATGTTCAAACACACATAATAGTCTGCATTGTAATGGAACTGGACTGCATTTTTATATTTTTGGATTGTAAGATCATGATCAACAAGTGCAAAGCTTGTCTGTTTGTGTGGATGTGCTGCAATGCAGTCATTACTTGCATGGCCRCATGAGGTCTTCCATAGAGCTTTTGCCTCAATAATTTTGTGTAGTCCCTGTGCCATCGCCCAAGAAAAGGATTTTCACAACATTATAGATGTGTCATTGTATAATGAGAGACTTCTTTTCCAGTGTTAGCAGGCTAATCTAATTATAAACTTCTTCATCTTTGGTGTGAGTGAATTATTGCAAGCCTTTGATCTGAGGTAGTATCTCAGTACCAGCCCAAGTTGGCAGTTGCTAACTTTCCTTTGGGATGATGCCAAAGGAAAGGAATGAAGGAATGAAGTATGAAGGAATTTCTCACATTTATCTGGATTGAATAATTTTCTTGTGGTCTGAGAGTCTGAAGGTTCAGAAAAAATTTGACATAATATTCACTTGACCATTATTTTTTCCTTTTACAACTTAGCAATGTGTATGATGGCATGTCATTTTCAGCTGTAGCAAAGCACTACTGAAAACAAAGCTTCACTTCYAGTTCAATATTGACATCAGACACCCCTTGCTTAACTTGCATTTTCACTTTTAGTATGATAATTAAATACACATAACTTTTCTGAGAGTTAATAAAATCATATTAAAATGCAAACATTAGTTACTTTCACTGATAACTTATTTAAAAATACAGGTTTTTAAACAGTCTTTAAAACTGCATATCTTTTAAAAGAGAAAATTTATATTCTTTCACAGTTTTAACATGTTAACCCTGACACTTACTCTTAAACAGAGTCGAAAGCTGGATGTGTATTTTGAATATGAAGAAAAAATAATGAGCAAATCCACTCTGGATAAGTCTCTTCTAGACATGATTTCTGACCCAGATGGTGAGTTCTTTAAATCTGAACTTGGTRTAAAATTTTTTAAGATACACAATAAATCTGTATCTGCTTGGATTTCAGGAYTGGTAAAGAAAAAGCTGTAAAAAAATAGCTTTTTTTTGATCTTCTGTAGCAGTATAGAGAGTTTAGTACTCCAGCTGAGTAATGTCTAAAATATTAGCAACTTTTGCTGCTCCACTAAAAATCCTTTCCTAACTCCTTATTTTTGAAAGTTAAAATACTTTAATTTTTGTGCTTTTCCAGAATTTAGTAGTATAACATGGCATTCTGTGGTCTGAACAATACTAATTTTTTAAAATTGTACTGCGTGTTTTATAACATATACATACCTCATGAACCCAATGAAAAATTCATAGAATTTGATTAGATCAAGGGGCTATAATGTAGGTAGCTCCTGCTTGTGTGAGTAAAAAGATGAATGGGACAAGATGGAGAGAAGGGACCCAAGATGTAAATTGGCCAGTTCCCTGGGACTCACCTGAAGCTTTGTGTGCATTGATTCAACTGTGGCGTGTCTGTTTTCATCACCTGAGAGCAAGAGCAGTGCATCCCAACTTCTGTGTCAGATATGGGTCATGCATATCAGAGTGCAGCACACCAGGGGTAGTCAGGTGCTCTATTAGCAGGAGTCACCCGGGGTCTTTTTGTGAAAGGCTGAGACCCAAATGACTTCTCAGCTTCTTGTRGTATTGCAGCATCAACCCTTCTTTCAATCTTTCACAACCTGACGTGTCAAAACCCTCTGAGACGTTTCAGTATGATGTGATACCAGTAGTGATATGATTCCAGTTGACTGGAACAAAATAGCATGCAGAGCAAAGTTATAAAAATGAAATTATGGTCTCTGACTTGTCTGCACACTGGCAATTATACTGGCAAACCTCAAGCATCTAGGGATCCAGGGTTCCTGCTCTTTTCCCAGTGTGCTCTTTAAGAAAATGTTTTGTTACTGCATGATTATTGTGTAGTCTTATAGCCACATACTGGGCTTAATGCTTGCTTGGAGTTGGTATAATGAATCATATTTATAGAATGAGTATATATACATGCTGCTGKCTTTTTACAAAAATCTTTTAATAGTGTCCATGCTATATAATCAAAAGTAGAAGAAACAGTGCACAGTTGGTAGAAATTTGAGCTAAAATTTGAAAGATCTCATAGTGGGTCAAGTCTAGAAACTGATAAATTTTCAGAAAATCTAATGTCAGGCATCAATCTCTAACTCAGTATATACACTCATTTTTATATAAAGCTAATAAGAATATGTATAAGCTGTATTTTTATTAAGCATCAATACAAACGATTCGTTTTACATGTTCAGAATTAATATTCCAWGTACAATTTTGATTTCAGCTTTTATATTTGCATAAACTTAGGTATGAAAACAAATTTTTCTGCTTGCTTGTATGTCCTACTGGATCAATTACTTATTACCTGAATCCACATTTTCTGTGCCTTTTTAGATTGCAGTGTAAAGCAAATTGTTTTCCAAGCCTGATGTATCATATCAACATTCCTATTAGCAAGGTTCTACAAGAGAAAGATTAGATTTACAAGCTAGAGTTTTTCTTCATAAGCTAAGTATTCAGGTTTTCACAGTAGTATGTTAGCATTTTATATGCATTGCCTAAGGTATAAGTTTATATTAAAAAMAAATTTAAGTTAAATTACAGTGATTATTTCCAGGCATGCTGCCTTGTAAAACTGTCCAGCGCCATATTGTGCGATTCACTGAGAAATATCAGCAGAAAACATTTTGAAGGAATAATACATCAAGTCTTCTAGTGCTTCCACTGGTGAACTATTTACTGGCATTATGTGTAGGGATATTTGTCTTGTGGACAATGAGATCTGCAGAGCTCTTTATGAAAGCACTTTGATGTGACCACTTAACAGCTTCAGGCTTCAGCCTCCAATTGGTTACTGTGTTGTACTAATCTACCACTCAAGACTATAAGCTGCCTCCCAGTTTAGTGGGTATCACTGTAACCTGGAGTAGTGATAAAATGGGAGCTAAAGGCTGCCTGCTGGTTTTTCAAAAGAAACTAAAATTGGTCTGTTCTAGGTTTGCCAAGTTGAGTTTTCTTCAGAATGTTTAGCAGTTTGCCTCTCCGTGCTGTCACAGACWGAAGTCTAGAAAAAAGTAGTGAATATTTGACATGAGATTGACCTKAGTCTTACAGCTGTTTATCACAGCTTTTTTTTGCCCAAGTGAATTCCAGGTGGATCTGTACCTTGAAAGATGGTTTTTGGTTTAGATAATACAAAGTTTCTTCAGTTCTTGATCTTCTGACTTACTGGTATTTGGAAAAGGTTAGTAAAACCTATTTTCCGGAGAAGACTGTACCAAGTCATAAATGTTCATTATGACAATGCTTACTCTTAACTTCTGCCAAACTAAATATATGCTCACTTCTAAATCAAAGTTGTAGATTAGATCAGATGGTCTCATGCTGACATGATCCACATTCCGTAGTAGGGGAAAAATACCCAAAACAAACAAAACAGAAGAAGAAAAACAGAAAAAAAGGTCATTTTCTTACCCACAAGTACAAGAAAGTGCATTCTTATAAAATATTGTACTAAAAGTACCGGGCTTTTATAATGAATTTTATTTGAAGTGTTTTSTTTTGAGAAGTTGTACTTTTGGAAACATTTGAAACTATTGTCTTTGCAAACAGTGATTTCTTCTAGAAAGTAAAAAAAAAAAGATTGTGTTCAAAATCTGCTGTAGTAGCTTATAGTCTAAGTAATGACTACATCAGCCTTTTGATCAGGAGAGATAAATTCTGATTGCATATCAATAATGCTTGCAATCTCCAAGTAAAATAAGTCATAATTTCTCTGCTTTAGTATGTTACGTGAATAATAATATTTACTACAAACAAAAGGAGAAAATGCAAAACTTTCAGAAAGAATGAGCACATCTAACCCAACTCTTAATAAAATTGCTATATGTCTTTCTAGCATTTTACACTTTACATTATTGAAGAAGGCCATGGATATAGGTAACATTTATTGTCATAACTAAAGGTCTGCATGTACATATATATAGCTGCTGAAGAGTAATTAATGTAGCAACATAATTATAATTGTAGTTTTTAATTATATTTTTTTTTTACTGCAGCGGGAACTCCAGAAGACAAAATGCGATTATTTCTCATCTATTATATAAGCTCAGCTCAGGCACCTTCAGAGGTACCTATGTGCTTTACAATATTAAAACTTTTAATTCATTTTGTCATATTACAAGGAAATTTGCTCACAAATCTTTAGCTACCATTTCAAAGGATACGAATGACCAGTAAGAAGGAATATTATATTGTGAAATATTTAGGTCAGAGTTACTGCAAGACACATCTTAGCATGCTTTCTAYTATTCTGCTCACTGCTCAATAGGAGCAGGTAAAGCAAACGGTAAATATGACTCATTTCACTCTATCTTCATATATTCAAGATTAAKTGAGTCAGTTGACTAGCAGGTGAATAAAGGAGAATAATTCAGGAAACTATTTCTTCATATTTCTTTTGAATTTAGGGTGATTAATTTCAAGGAAAATYCTTACTCCATAGAAATATTATCTAACGGAAAAAATGTTTGGTTAGGGAAATAGAAAATATTAGTAAAACTATGTATTAGTTCCTCTGTTTGTTATCTACTGTTTTGACATTCTAGAGAAACTAGCATTCTGCTAGGTTTCTTTTTAAAGATGCTAATATAAAAGATTGTTCCGATATCTGAAAGTGCACAGAATTTAGTTCCCCAAACATGGTTAAGTTTAATGAGATTTGCTMATGGCAAATTTTATTTCAAGTTATATTTCTGTACCTGGTAGGAAATAGGATTAAAACTCGTAATTACTTTTTAACTTCACTTAATGCTGTGACTTTGCACTGCTTATTTAGTATTTAGATATCTTGTCTTTCCACGTGGAGTCAAGAGTAGCTTCAACCCTTTGTMATTCTCCACTTCATGATTTCAGATTGATTTGGAGCAGTATAAAAAAGCATTGACGGATGCAGGTTGTAATCTTGCTCCTTTGAGCTACATAAAACAATGGAAGTAAGTAATTTCTTGTTACTCCTATATGAGGCTAACTGGGTAATTTTACAGAAGCCAGCATTGTATTCTGGAATTATGTAAATTATCCTTAAACATTCATTTGGTGCAAGTTTTACTGTCATTGCTATGGTAATACATGTAAATCTTTTCTAAAACTAAACACAAGGAGTGCCAGAACACTATAGAACATGACATGTAATGGTGGCCTTAATGATCCAGGACACAGACAACCTACTGAATTAAATGAAAGGGTGTGCTGGTTCAAACTCCAAAGTTTTTTTKGTTTGTACCAAGAGGTCATGTTGCATATCAGTTATTCGAGTTTTATGTGGTATCCAATTGAAATCTTTGTTTTTTATGTATAAAATCGAATTCCTAGTTTATTTGTAGACCAGAGGGATGCATATAATAAATAGTTACTTCATGTAGAAGTTTTTTCACTTTTAGATGACTGGAGTGGAAGTTTGTACAGCAGTATGTGCCATGAGATAAGTATTTGATTTCTATCCCTGCTTTCACAGGGCTTTCACTAAGATGGCTTCAGCTCCAACCAGCTATGGAAACACTGCGCCTAAACCATTGGGGTATGCTTTTGATTAATTTTCTGTRAGCCTTTAGGTTCTTTTATCTTATTTTAGTCGTGCTGAAAGTGTAGTTAGTGCTATACATGGCCCATAACAAAACATCTCCCTAACTGTAAAACTTTGTCACAGACAATTGCAAGCGCTCATTTCCCCGTAACAGTGTGTAGTACACCCAGAGAGGAAAATAAAAGGATCTGTGACTAAATTCACAAACTATCTTAATACAGTGCTATCTGCACCTGCACATTATGTGCATTCTCACAGAGGCAAAATTCAACACCAGGAGCTGGATCTATGACAGCCATCACTTTGAGCCTCAAGTAGCCAATAGCAGAAGATAAGAATAGCCCTGTATACTCAAAATCATTCCTCTCCAGGAGACTGTCAGGGATGGAAGAGCACACTGCTATTTCATTGGAATGCCCTGGACTGGGTGTCTGCCTGCTTGTTGRAAGGTGTAGTTATTTATTTCAAGACATAAGAAGAAAATTACTGTGCTACAGTTGCATATATCCCATACAGGATATAGCACTTGGGTCTTTCCATTCTTCAGAGGATTTGAGTCCTCATTACCAACTTTACTTTCAAGAGTGCACAGTCAAAGTCATAAGGAATTCATGGCTCAGTATGGTTAGAGAGAGTYCCGGTGCTGTTTCACTTGGAAAAATTGCTGTTTGGTTTGTTGGTCTGTTAAGTCTGGTGATTAGAATACCCACTTTAAAAAAAGCACTCAAATTCTTGCATTACTGAAGTTGCAAAATAAACTTTTCAGTGGATTAAAGACTAGAATCCAATACTCCATTAATAGGTGAGGATCTGTCTGGTAGGTTACAAGTGTATTCCCATGCACTTGCTTGCTGTGTGACATGAACAATGTATTTTACGACAAGCTGAATTACTTGCTACTTAGGTCACTAAGGTCGACTTTAGTGAGAATTGGATATGACTATAAAGCTTAAGAATACAAATTTTTTAAAAAAGTTCTTACACATCACCTTTATTTTGTTTTTTCAGTCTGTTTTCACGTGTTATGAATACAGGATCACAGTTTGTGATGGAAGGAGTGAAGAACTTGGTACTGAAGCAACAAGTAAGTTTAAAAAAATAAAAGTCTGTTGTGAGTAGTGTGAACATTTGGAAAAACAAAATACCTTTGTCATATTAATGAACTTCATCATACAGTAAAAATGTGAACATAAATCTCTGCTGATCCATAGATCTGTCACTTAGTAACTTTCAGTTTTTAGATAAGTAACAAATGTTCACATTTTCTTTRAATACCCTTGTAAGGAATTAGATTTTAGTATGTACAATTAAGACTGATTTCAGCATTATAAAAAGAGCAACTGTGTAATGTTCAATAGACCAAACCTTCATTTAAAAAAAAAGTTATCTGTATCTTTATTTAGAACTGTATGTATTAAGTGACTCTATTCCAGAGTGATTAAAAGGCTGAAAGTGTTAGTTCAGTTGCAATTCAAGCATTTCTTGTTTTCCCATATAATTATAATGTACAACAACCATAACGTTGTAAAGTACATAATGAAAATATGTTTATAATGGCATGACCACCTTCAAATATTCACTTAACTTTATAAAATATTTCCAAGCATAACTTGCATGTAAATTTCAGTGTACACCCCCCAAATAAAACAAACAGCAACAAAAAAAAGAAACTGGTTGTACAATTGTAGCTGGAATTTTGAATTGTGGTTCCCAAAATCTGCTCCTCTGTAGAGGACACATTATTTTTCCAATATGTACTTTCATCAGATAGCAATGAATTAATATTTATTTACAGTTTAAAATCTTAATTCTGTAATATTTTGACATCAAGATTTATAAGAAAAAGATCATTCATCATTTTATTATTCTTAGTCGAAGAGTCAGAATTTAAYTTAGAAATACAACATATCAGAACTAAATAAAATGAAAGGTTTATCTTTGTGACCTACTTATCCTTATCATTGTCACTGTTTGTTTATTCAGCCTGTTATATATCCAATCTATACAAGAAAGGTATCAGCTATCATATAAACGTTTAAAAATGGGGTCTCACTTTTGTAGGGTAGTTAATGAAGTTAATTCCACAGGAATTTCACTATGGCTAGATGCGATAAAGTGCTTAGCACAGTTACAACTCAGTGGTATATCACAAAATATGATTGGGGATAATTTAAATATGCAGCTTGCCTGTGTGTTATATTTTATAGAGAACTCTTCAGATAAGCTGTTACTGGTAATAATAGAAAATAATTATATTCTAAAGGGGACTTTCTCTTCTTTTTGTATTAAACATTTTGCCATTTCTTTAAATGTGTTTTTAAAGAGTTAATATTGTTCTTTACAAAATGGCTTGCAGCGTTTTCCTTTCTGAGTGAGCAAGAAGTCAGTTTGTCAATGTTTTCAGGATATGCCTTTTCTGGCTTTTCATTTCTTCTCCAGGTATTTTAGGACAGCTAAATGAAAAGCCTTTCTTCCTCATATTTATAAGCCTAGTGTAGGACTGTGGTTTTTATATTAAAGCTAACTTTTTATTTTTCCTTCTGTAATTCAGGGATTCACATCTGTTTTTCAGTGTAATATGTAGATCATCCTTTGGAATGTCCTCTTTTGATACATTCTGTCAACAAGACACGTTTCCAGTCCTGTTGCTATGTAACCTCATCCTCGGTTTATTACAACTGAAGTAGTTTAACTCTTTAATATTCAGATATTTTGTCCCATCTGACATTTCCCATGTTAAATAAGGAGCAGTAACTTTGAATTTCACCTCAGTTTATTCCTTGGCAGTTTATCCAAACATTTATTGCCAGGGTTAGTTTTTTTACACATTTCTTTGACAACATTAGTTCTTTTTTAGAATCACACCATTAATTATCATTTTTAGCTTGAAAATTCTTTCTTCAACTGCAAAGTATTTYTTTTAATAAGAATCCATATTTGATCAGATCTGCATATATTGGTAATATCTAAATGTAGCTGTGTTCCTATCTWCACTTTTTTTTGTGCTTTATGTTTATCCCCTACCTATATGCACTTCAGATGTTTGTGTTTTTTGGTCAGAAAAGTAATTCAGGTGATGATAAATTAGCTTAACCTTTACAAAACATAAGAGGAAAACTGATGGAAACAGTATTTCAAATGCTTTGTAAACTCTTCCGTAATAATGTGCCTGGGAATAGTTCTTAGTAAGCGTTTCAGCATTCCATTAATTTGACATTATGCTTTACAGAATCTGCCAGTCACACGTATTTTGGATAACCTTATGGAGATGAAGTCAAACCCTGTGAGTACAATTGCCTTCACACTGAGAGAGGTGCAGCAAATGAAATCTTGAGGCTGTGATATGTAWTATGCTAGGGCTAGTTTTTTTTCATGAGAATGCAGTTAAATACAGTCATGCTGTGTTTCAATAATAGAACCATTTTCATAATTATCTAGTAAGACCTTTTTCATTAAAACTGTCTCTAAAAAATGGCAGGTTATTGTGTCTCATTGCAACCAATAATTTTTAGTTTGTTCCTTTTCTGAGCTTCTATTACTCTTGTGCTTTATTGAGCTTCTGTTGCTCCTAAATTTCTACATTAAGCTGTAGACTGAAATTTTCTTTGCATCAAGGTGTTTGGGTTTTTTTTAAAGAGTACCATTTCAGAAGTGAAGTATTTACACATAGATATGTTAGGGGAAATTACATTTCCCACTTCTTTAAACTTTGCTTTGTAGAGGAAAATATGATGCTACTGATTCAGTCATTCTGTTTGCAAGCAGGGTCTTTTTCAGAAAAGTCCTCTTTTTGCCTTGTTTCTGTGAAAATTTACTCAGGATATTTTAAATTATATCTTACAAGCTTTTGAAATGCTTTCGTGTTAGTTACACAGTCAAGGCGTTTGCTAGAATTTACAGCTGAATGTAAGCCTGAGTCTGTTTATGCATAAAGTCATTTTTCTTGCCATGTATTTTGTTCCTTATTTATGACCAACCTGTGCACAAACTTGTCCTGAAAAAATCACCTGTCAGAAGTCATTTAGAAAGCYTTAATATGTTTGCCACATTGTATCAATCTTCCTATTTTTAATGCCATCAGCATCAGTCGGATACAATTGTAATATCTCACACTGGTTAGTAGATTTAAAGCATTCTTCATAGTTCACCTTCACCTTCAGATATTAACTGTATTTACAGGGAGGAAAATAATGGTATRATATGAAAACTATCARCATGCAAAATATCAAAACAATCAACATGCAAATAATCCTTTATTTTCTTAAACTGTACTTCATATATGATATATGTCATGATTCTTAGCAGACAATTTACTTTCTCTTTAACAAACAAAGGAATTAACACTGWTTCCAGTGCTAGTGGATTGTTGTTCCTGTTTGAAAGGCCTGGAAAAGATGTTCAGGGCTAACTTTATTAAGTCAACCAGCAGAGGTCACCCAGAACACTTACCATAGAAAGCTGAAATTAAAACTACAGATAACTTACAAGAAGGTGAAAAATTAAACAATTTTTTACATAAACATTAGCTTCCTCACRCTGTAAGTTTAGGAGTTGATTTAGACAAGTTTACAAATCATATGAGGGGTTTTTCTGACTGCATTTTTTCACATTTTACTTAGTAGGAAACAGCTACTAGCACTTCGATAATTTGGAGAAAACATTGATCTTCTCACTTTAAAATGCAGTGATTGAGCCAGGTTGTTAGTCAGCAGTCCTGTTGCAGTGCCATGGCAGAGACTGATACTCATGGCACAAAACAGGAAGTCCCACTTTTCAAATCATAGTAGAGCAGGCGATCCCTAAAAGACTGATTCTCCTAACCTGCAGGAAAACTGACAGCAAGTTTGGGAGTAAGTTTCAGCTAAAAGAAGCAAGCCAGAGAGTCATTGTGGAATACATTTAGACTTGCTGTRCTATCAACAGAAGTGAAATTGTATCTGGAAAAGGTCAATGTTCGGAAATACACCATTGTGGCTTCTGTTCATTTTCTGATGTGTGTGATCCTTTTCTATTCCCCAGAACAGAAAACTACTGCACTGCACTGCAGGCAAAGCACAAAGGGAGAGGGAAACAAGTTCTTTTTTTTTTTTTTTTTTTTTTTTTTAACAACACAGAAAAAAATCTTCTTTTTAGTAATCAGTGTATGAAATGTACATACAGATAAAAGATGTAGTCAAAATTAGAGCAGATTATTGAGAAGTCATACAACTATTACAATGAATGTAAATAATTAAAATTATTTTCTTGATATTAACTGCAATAATAAAGTAAATATATGAAATGTACATGCAATTTTTACCACAGATATTCACCCATATTATTGTCAGTTGAAATCATAAACCTATTTAGAATGATACCCTGTGCAAAGCTGTAGGGTTGTCTCTAAATCTCTTTGCATGTAGCTTGTCTGCTGTTTCTTTTGTCTCCCAAGGACAAGTTTACTGGCAAGGACAAATAAGTCAACACCCATGCATGCAGGTTTTTCAGAAACATGACCAGCTAGAGCAGTTCTTAKGAGCCATAATACCATCTTGTAATATTTTAAATTTATCTTGATTGTTTAACTACAGTTGGACCTTTTCTTGAAATACAAATTCAGAAACATTCCTTGATGAGCTTAAAAATAATCAGTTACTTGTGGATATTTTAAATAATAACATTTATTGTTAAAAGCAATTTTTTAAGCAATTGCTTTGTTTTGGTGTGATTAAATAGAAGTTGATTAAAATCTTTAATCATCCTAAACAAACAAAAAAAAACCTTATTGTCAAGAATAGACAAATTTTAATCCATAGTTACAAATTGACCACCATTTACTATAGAATTATGGAGATTCTTTTAAGGATCTTCTAGACAATGGTTTGATTACTGAGTGAGGACAATCTTAGAATAGTAAATCTTCACAARGTGGTTTAGCCTCAGCTGTCAGCACAGTGTGTACGTTTGTACTGGCTTAAGAAGCAGATAGATCTGATTTGTGATATACATTAATGAAAGTATATTTTGAAAGGGACAGTATGAATCAGTGTATATGGTACCTTTCAGACATAGGATATCTTATAGGATTACTTCTCATGYATTACAAAGAGAAATTCTGAAAGCAGAAGATTTCATTAATCCAAATTAGTCCTGTTAGATTCTGTAGAAAAACAAATACAGATTGAAAGTCAATGACACTTCTATGGGTCTTCTTCCATTTTAATTTGAAATGCTGAAAAATAAGTTTATAATTTCAGAAGTATTCATTTTCTTCTGGAATTGCTTAGGGAAGTCATAAATTCAGTTGTGTGTTAAGGAATGTGCTATACAGTTGTTTTTATTGGCAGACTAGCTATCTCTGAAAGGAAACAAAATTTAGTAGGGTTTCTTTTCCCTGCACTCTCAGCACTGATTTCAGTGGGGATAGTGTATTTAAACAATAATAGCAAAAAAACACTAGGTTATCACATTTCTATTGCTTTATCACTTTTCATATGTCTGCTTACACAGGCCCACAGTGAAAAAATACAGCAGTAATACATTCAGGAGTAAATGTTTATAATATGTTTATTAACTCTGATTTTTAGTTCTGGCATTAATCTGTAGTTCATTCTAATAAGCAGAGAAAGTGCAGCTCTTTATCCAAGTAAAGGTTTCTCAAAAAGGTTTCTCAAATACCCCTCAGTTTCAGTCTATCAATATCTGTCCATTCCCAGCTATTTCATTACTCGAGTCACTATACCTTCTTTAGGTATGAATCTGCAAAATCGTGAATTCAAGCAGACTCCAGTAGCTGAAATTCCCAGTGAAGCATATAAAAGCATTTTACAGAGATTCAGTGTGAAATTAGATCTTTTTCTTGTTTGGTTTTTTTTTTTTTTAAAGTCAACATGCAGGATAAGGGAGTTATTGTATGTAATTTTATGTAATTATTTTATGTAATTACAAAGAAGGTTGTAATATCAAATAGATTTCTTTTCTGTGTGTGCAACTACCCCATATATATTAAATATTTTTTAATATTAGAGGTAGTCATGCTTGGTGAGCTCTAGATAATTTGTCTTCTACTCAAGAAGTATTATTTCTGCTCTATGGAAGCATCAAAACACAGAGGTCTTGCATGTAATACACACATGAAATCAACTGTAGTTCTGCATGCAGTTTATCAACAAACTTAACTTCATGGTACCTGGATGAAAATGTAGTATAGAAACGGGAGAAAGCCAAGAAATTGTCAGAAGGAGTTACTAAGAAATTTTGTTTTTCATCCATAATAATTGGCAAAAATCCTGCTTGTTGCCAGTAAAAATATTGGAAGTGCTTCAGTGTTCTGTGTGAAGAAAAGTTTTTTTGTATAGTTTAGACAGTCAGACTTTTCAAATTCTTGTGGAACTCATTTCTTCTTCAAGAGCTTAATTTTGGTTTAATAGTAGTCATAAATCATGAAATAAGAATGGTAAGTTACATAACAGTAGCAGATTTTGATCTGTCTTGTCTTTAGTACGCTGCCACAGAAGTGTTTTGTTTTATAATGTTAAATCAACAGCAGATCTTCGTAACCTGGAAAATTTTAGTTTTTCTAAGTAAGCACTGGTGTTCTTCTGAAGCTGATAACTACTTAATTTTTCTTTCTGCTTACTGTCTTTCTGTTGGGATTTATTATGCAACCAGTGTATTTTTTGGAAAGTGTGTGATAGTCAGCTTTAGATGAACTAGAAATAAAAAGCTCAATAGCACTCTTCATATCTTCTCACTGTTGTTTATTCTGTACTGGTTCAGTTCTATACAAACTTTATGAATCTTACTGGAGACCAAAATTAATGTTGAATTCTGTGATGGGAAATGATACTTGTTTGAACAATGTTTAGTATAACATATACAAGCAAAACTTCATAAGCCAAAATTCCAACCTTTTGAGATAAAAACATCCCTTTTAATAGGAGACAGATGACTACCGGTATTTTGACCCCAAGATGCTACGAGGCAGTGACAGGTGAGTTCTGCTTCTTTCCTTGTACTCTTTGAAAAAACTAACTTTAAAAATCTATTTTTATTTTACTTGTTGACTACAAGTAATTAATTTGAATCATTAATTCATAAGTCAAGATAGTTGGTGTTTAAGGAATTCACAATGGGAACTTGGATCAACCAGATAAATTTTTATAACACTGCAAAAAAATCTAAAAAAACAAATGCTAGCATGTGCATCAATTTAATCACAAGAATGTGCGTTAATATTTGGCAATCGTAGATGTTAGAATTCTTCATAGTTGTACTGCTTGTTTTTTTTTTAAAAACTCTGTGGGTTTTCACTGTGAAGTTGAAGAGTCATTGGATAGAGCACCAAAATTTCTTTGTCACATTTTTAACAGTTAGAATTTTGATTTGAATACAACCCTTCGTTAGTAATTTGTTAATAAGCTTGGGAAAAAGATTATTAAAAGTACTGCAATGGCTTTTGTATAGGTAGATGCACATTTTATATTCATGTACATATGAAGAGAGACTTGGATATAGTTTATTTTGCCAGTGAAAGAGAGAGAGGAATTACACTTGAAGTTTATAAACCTTTATCTTTTGCTTTCTATCTTTGACCAATAACTGGCTAATAGTCTCACCTAATCTAATATCCCAGAAACAGAGAAGATACTTAATTTTTRTATACATTCCAAAAATAACTCTTATCAAACCTGTGGGAAAAGATTTATCTCATTTAATTGCTCCAGTTTATTACAGGATCARTGTGGATGAAGTAGATCCAGGCTTGGTTTTACTTATTTGCATGGAAAATTTGTCTCTGCTTTGTCTGTTCTTGAAACRTGGAAAGTAAGAGGACATAAATTTCAGATAATATATATGTTTTATTGAAGGTATAGCAGATTAAATAATTTCAAAGATAAGCAAATGTAAAAATGATCAAAAGAGAAAAGTGCTACTATTTTATGTTTCATTTGGATTTTAACTGTCACTGTTTTGTGATGCTTTTATAGTGGTTTTGGTGGATTTTGTGCAAAAGTGCAAAGATTGATTTCACTAAGTTAAAGGACTTTCTCATGTAAATGTGCCTTTTCCCCCACTCTGTATAGTTCTTACATTGCTTTAAACAATGTAAAARTATTTATTTACAGCAATGTGCTATTCTGTGTAGTTATAATAGTCATCATAGGGAACAGCTTTTAATGTCTTGTTTGGGATTTCTCTGTAAACTTAAGCTATATTCCTTAAATCATATTTGAGCATGATAGCAAACTCTAATATAAGCATATGGCAATTTGTCTAATTCTCCCTTCAAATATTTATGTAGACAGTAAAAGTCTTGACAAAATAGTGATATCAGATAGTACAATTAATGGATTTAAYTTAAAAGTGACTAATTTCTAACCTACTCTCATTTTAAGAAATACTGGAATTTCTACTTACTATGTTTTAAATAGAGCAGGAACTGCATTGCTACTGATTCAGTCTTAACAAAACAGCATCTTTTTATCCTGTGTAAAGCAAAGCATCAAGTATAAACAGGCCTTGTCCACATACAAAATGTATGTGGATTTGTGATATTATACTCAAAAGATATGAGATGGTGTAACAGTTCTTATGGGAGGTCTGTAGTGTTCATGACAGACAAAGCAACATATTAGAGATAGCCATTCCCTTTTAAAACCTGTATTTCTCATACACTGGAATCTGTATTGAGTCAGTTGTTCTTGGTCATTCAGAGAAAACATCTTGAAATAGGGGGAAAGGTAAGTTGAAGGGGAAATTGCAATGCTTTTAATCTGTGTTAGAACATAAGATGTGTTTGGCTACCTGGGGCTGCAGGCCAGTGCAGGGAAGGAAGGCAGTGGCAGTGTGTGAGCAAATGGCAGGAGAGCAGACTCACCCTTTACATCCTTTTCTTCACTTTCCCCTTCCTCCTGGAGGTGCAAGGTGATGCAGGAAAAGAGGTTTCTCTCCCTGCTACATGCCTGTATATTCACATGGAGAAGAAGAGTCTGTACCACCCAAACTTGTAATTTCCCTCTTCTTCTCTTAATCATTCTAATCCTACATACTTTGTGCCTATAGTAGTTTTTGACATTTTGAAGCATCATTGTGTATCCAAGCACTGCTTACCTAGCTAAGATTCCAGTAGGCAGGATTTCTAAGTGCCATGAGTTGTGCTAATGCTGATGACATTTTTTACTCGTTGTATTTGCTCCTAGGTAACAGCACGATAGTTAGAGCTTTTAAATTGTGGAAGAATTGTTGTTATAAAGCTTATGATTCAAATGACAGCATTAAAAATGATGAAATAAAATTCCTGGTTACTTTTGTATTGAGTCCTGTAGAATAAATGATTTTCATGACAATTTATATAAAATACTTGGAGGATGAATGCAGAAAGGCAGTTATTGTTCTGTTTTATATTTTCGTCTAATATTATATAGTGGTTCATAAATATGATGGGTACATGATGCTTATTTTGTATATTTCTATAAATAATGAAATCTGAGTTGAATTTTTTGTGTTTCTTTTTATAGCTCAGTTCCAAGAAATAAAAATCCATTCCAGGAGGTAAGTCATCTCGAAATTATTTTTCAATGTTCATGTGTTAAAAATAAATAAATCCTGGAGTACAGTMATTTTTCATGATTATGATTAAGAAAATGAGAGGTCTTATTTCCAAAAAGGCACTTAGATTGATTATATCTAATAYTAATTATAATTAGCTGTTTTTCTGAAGAAGGCTTTTCATCTTCAAAGGACTATGTAAGAATTAACTTATACTAATACTGGAGAAAAAATGTAGAAAATTCCTCTGAAGGTAATTATGGGGTTTTTTTAATATCATAATTGGTGAGCAATTTAAACCCCCCCACTTTTACACCAGTCTTTCAGAATGCTCTCTAGATTTAATCCTTTGTCCAACCTTTATCAACAGGGTTGATCACTGCTGTAAATGACTTTTAAAGTCTCTGCAATTAAAGGAAAAAAGCAAAATAATGGATTTTGTACTTTCATACAAATACCTATAACTTTCAGTATTTTTCTACATAAGTATTTATAAATAGTAAAAGTCTTATCTGATCTAACTACCAAGTTTCATAAGCAAAATATTTGCCTTGACAATATACAAATGKCTGAGATTTCTCATTAAATGTCTTAATTATCCTCCAGAACAGAAGAAATATCATGTGGTATTATATATATATATGGCTACAGATGGTCATAGGAAAAATGTCAGTAGTAACATAAAGACTATATAAAATTCATATAGTGTGGTCAAAGAATTTTGGATAATGAACGTTAACAACAATAATACAATAATTAAATCATAATTATTATCATAAACAACAATAATTAAATCTCTTTTTTTTTAGTAATGAATTTTTCTCTTTTACACACAGGCCAGAAAATACTGATGGCCCTTACCTATAATATTATAAATTATTACCACTAGTAGGTGGGAAGGGAAAAAATAATGAAAAAGTATATTTTTTTATGACAGAAGTATTTTATTTATGGCCCTAATGAATTTTTAAGTATCCATGGAAATATTTTTACTGTTTCTCTRTGATCTCTAGAGGCATCTCCAGACAAAAAAAGGAGCATGTTGAAACTGTGTATGTATCGGATATGTCTTAATAGAAGAGAGTGTCATGTTAAAAGCTCTCAGCTTGCTGTTTTGCATCCTACCAAAGCTTTAAATATCTTCTTTCAAATAGGAAGCAGTGGTTCTGTATCAAGTTTTTCTAAGACTGCAGCGTGGTCATGATGATTTTTGTTTTGGGTTTAACAATCTGGTATTTCACTATTTAAGTTTTAAGAATTTGAATGCATACTCTAATAGTGTGTCTGTTGCCTTTTAGGCCATAGTGTTTGTAGTTGGAGGAGGCAACTATATTGAATATCAAAATCTTATTGACTACATAAAGGTATGTGCACTTCTGTCAGTTGTATTGCTTAACTTTCTGATAGAAACCAGACAGAGCATGTTTCCTGTAATATTAGTGTTTAGAAAATGAAGTGCATGAAATTAGCCTTAACATCCCTATTCTATACAGAGTCTGGGAAGAACTGAACATAAAAAATCAGTAGCAATTGTGTGTTACTAATTCAGACCAACAAAGAGTTACTGTTTCTGGTATTTTGCTCATGTTGCTTTTTGGAGTTGAGTAAATAAACTGCATTCTGTTTTATTTTGTGTTCATACACATCAGCATGGTTGAAAACTGTCAGCAGATGTAGCAAACAGAATTAACCTGTTTTAGAGTCCTGTTAAGTTTTCATGTGCTGGTGTTAAATAAAGCAACTGTAGCATATCATACCCTTGAAAGTAAGGAACTGCTCAGAATTCTCTAGTTTTCATAAATCTTGCAAAAGAGATACCACAGTGCTTTGTCATATGCAGCTTCATAATAAGGAGTCAGTTCCAAGTCAGACCTGKTTTTTTATGACAGTCTTACTTGAGCATAAACTGTGTTGTTTCAGAAGCCAACATAATTCAAATACTATGCTATCTGTAAGAGCAAGTATCAGATTGCCATCAACATCTATCTAAGCATTTATTGCTTATTCACATTTAGAAGTTTTCACTACTGAGTTAATCAAAGCTCATTCTCGTTGAACTGTGTTATTTGATTCTGTGTGGAAGTCATACAAGGTGTCATGCACAAGGAAGAAAATAAGTAAGCAGCTATGTAATACTGGTGTAACAGATTTAATTTCTTTGGTTCCAGCTGGCCAGACTAGCAGAACATATGTATACCAAAAATCAGTGGATGGAGAAAAATAACCAAATCATTATAGTTCCTGGGAGGCAGGGGCGATATTTAAGCACTTTCCAGGAATTAAAAAAAATGCGAAAGTAATCTTAGTAAAACTTTGAAGAAGGTAATTATTTAAGAGCAACAGAATGCCATTCTATTTCTCTGATCTTAACCTTCTTCATGGTACAGTTGTCCTGTCCTGTTATAGACTGGATTTAGGCTTTTTACACAAAAGTATAAATACAGAGCTTTCGTCACTGAAATCACTTCTGCAAAGCACATGAGAGTTTTATATCCAGGTAAATCTTGAAGAATGTCAAGTCAAAATGTGTATGCTGAGTTTTTCCCGCCAACAGGCAGCCATTTTGGAACAGAGCTGGTCTGGATTGGGGAGAGGATAGGAGGAGGAATGTAAATGAAAGAAATCATTTCGTTTTGCCTTAGCACTCATCACTGTGCTTGGTAACTAATCCAGTGAGGCATCTGCCTGTAGCAGAGAGTCAAATGGTTAGCTTGCTCCTTAGCCAACCCAAAGCCATTTTAGGTACCACATCAATCCAAGAGATGCCCAGCAACATGAGTACTTTTTAGTTCTTACTAAAACAATTAATTCCCTAGAGGCTAGTTCACTCGTCTGATTGTAGCTGCATGCTGACAGAGCTGAGGTTTACTGTGTGTGTGGGTATACAAGGCACTTGTGAGGTGACAAGTTAAACACTCAGCACTTCACAAAGTGGCAGGAAGCTGAAGTTTCAGGGGAGTAAGAGGGAAAACAAGGTCATTTGATAAAAAGATGGAGAGGACAGAAGGAACTGAAAACTATGGAAAGGGGAATGTTAGATCTTATGGACAGTCAGAAAGTGAACATACTTTTTCTTCTGGAACCTGTGAACAGAGGTTTTCATCACAGTTGACCCAGCTAAAGGRTGCTGTATGTTTCTCTGCTCAGGCTGTGTACTAGTGCAGTGGGAGATGACCTCTGAATGGGGAAGACACCTCACTTTTACTCATTTAGCCCTTTGCTCTTGAAAAAATAAGGTTCAAAAACCTTCATTCTACTTCCCACCACCTGGAAACTTGTGTTCCTCTCCCAGGTGACTCTTACAGTCTTATCCAATAAAATTTGCTTTTCCATGTGGTAGGCTTCCAGCATCTATTGTTTCCACAGATGTAGCTTATTAATTATTCTCAAATTCAATCAGTCTGCCTCCAGAATGAAAAAGAGAAGAATCAACAGTTCTGTTCTTGCAAGCAGATACCACAGAGATTTTATTCATTGCTTTATTTTTCTAAGCACTGTCCGTTTTGCCAGTTTGCCTCTGAAAGCACAGAAAAAGTATTTTGAAACTTTCTAAAACAGGAAGCAATGCTCATTCAGCTTTAACATTCTGGAGTTTTTTTGTAGAAGAATTAAGAGGAGCACTCAAATTCAATTATTTGCAGTTCTGTGCTAGAATGGACATTTCACAATGTCATAAAGCAAAAATTTATCGTGTCATTAAGGTCGATTGTGCCTTAAAATAAATGTATTGTTCAAGTTCAATTCAGCATGCTGAAAATGTGTCATCAGAATTACCAGCATAGGGAACCTAAGCATACTGTTTTTTGTAAAAGAATTTAGTATATCCTTTAATTTTCTTTTGAAGCACTGCTTGTTAATTTTCTGCTACTCTGTTAAACACCTGATTTCTTCTGGACTTTTCTTTTTTAGGGTAAACAAGGCAAACATGTCCTGTATGGCTGCAGYGAACTTTTTAATGCGACACAGTTTATAAAACAGGTAGATAACTTTGATAACCTCTATAATATTTATTGCTTCTTTATTTGTAAGTTGATTTATATAACTCTACATCTCCATGGATTTTTACCAAAAAAAAACCAAAGGAATATTTGAAAGATTAATACATGTTCTTGTTACCTATTTTCATTTGCTTGAAGTGCAGTTTTGAAGTCAATGTTTTAATTAGCTCTTGAAGGCCTGTTATCWATGTGGGTTTACAGGTAATGCACATGAACAAGTTCATAATAATTGCCTTTACATAAATCCTGCTGAAAAAATATTGAGTCTKTTCTTGGAACTTTCACAGTGTGTCTTTCCAGGGTATTCTTGCAGCTTTTTCAAGTTACAAGATCTTTAAAACTTTGTCCTGGTTTATAAATATCTATAGACATACAGATATAAAAAACTGGGCTAGTGGGAGCTTGATGTCCATACCTATACTAAAATCTGTCTTTCAGTGCTGTTAAAAACATCATTACTTCTCTATGCCTCATTCCAATACAAATAAAAAATAAAAATTATTCTCGCTGGTGAGCAAATAGCAGCTCTTCAGTAGCTGTCACCACCTATGGTTTTATGTCCTACTAACATGAGAATAAGTTGTTATTCAACACTACATTTTAAAGAACTAAATTAATTCTTGTTGCACTTCAAGGAGACAAATGGTATTGGCTAGCTTTTAAATCCTCGTTCAGCTTAATTAACATTTTTTTTGTCTTGACTGTGTGCATTGTACCTTTACTTCATGAGATACATGCAAATCTGAAGTTTTTAATCAGGTCCTTTCCTCTGAGGGTATGCATTAAATATTCTATTACCAGCATAGTTTTGGTGCTCAGAGAGAAACAAAGCTTATATGACAGAAATAATTGCTTAGTGAAATGGCTGTTAGTTTGACTGAAAAAAATAAAGATTAGCAATGTAATGATCTTTTGTCTCTTCATGTTTAGCTGTCCCAACTTGGCCAGAAATAAGACTGAAACACCACTACCTGTATGGCAACGTGACAAGAGAGAATTGTTATAACATTCAGATATCTTCATATCTTTAATTTTGTCATTATATTAAAACTTAAACCCATTTCATTAATATGATAACTTTTAAAAAAATCTGTAATTAATACCATGTATATCAGCATTTCAGAAATAAAACTTAAAATCTGTATTTTTGGTGGGGGTCACTTTCACATTATTACATTTTAATTGCAGTATTAGCTATGGTATATGACAGAACTGGCTGAAAAGTATGGCATTTTCAAGTTCTTRTATGTAAGTTTCTGACACAGTGGACAGGGCTATAGCTTTAAGAAAAGGTCAAGTCTGTCTTTAGAAGTTATGTTCTTCTTGAAAGTCAGAATATTTTTATTTAACAAAATTCAAAAGAATAGAACTGCCTTTCTGGACCACAGACAAACAGCCTTAGTGCAAGGGAACTACTTTTAGTTCTTACCCTTTTRTTTTACCAAAGTCATTATTTGATATGTGCAGTCTTTGCATTATGGTCGAAAGATGTACTGGAAGATAATTTCAGTACAAGTTTCTGGTACAGTAATTTAGTCTTTCTCTTAAGAGAAAATTGCTTGCCAACACAGTCACAGTTTCAAACTGTGAAACTGAAATCTCTAATACTTTTCTTCTGCACTTTTTATTGTAACTACTTGGACTGTTGTGAGTATGATTTGGGTTCTTCCCAAACATAAAACACCTCTTAGCTCTTTTATAAGCGCATACTTAAAATACAGTTTTTAACAATTCCATTAGGTAGGGGTAGTTTAGTTCAAAGAATCCAGTAGTGATAGCTCTGGAGAATGCATACAGGAATTGAGAGAGCATAACATTCTTTTTTGTAGATGTAGATGTCTGCCTTTAGAAACTTATTCTCTGAAAACAACACTGCTACTGGTGAAGCAATAATATGACTTCAGAATGAGACCTAACACTCAAAAAGTGAAAGCACTCCTTGGGGGTTTATTAGCAAACTGTGAGAATTACTGACCTACTGTAAATTTTTTTGTAGTGCTTTTTGCACTGTTTTTCAATGTTGAATGTTAGTTTTGCACTAAACACTATGCCCTTTCCCCAGCTAGATTGTTTTTAGAACATCTGTACAAGAAATGCAGTTGATCTATTCCTTCAAAGTATCACAAGAAGAATATACATAATCTAGACCATCTTATCAAAAAAGTAATAATGTTATTTAATTATCTCAGCTAAGTGTTGTAAGCTACTCCATGATACTGCTATAAATTTCTAATTTTTGCAAATCAATAAATATATTTAGTATGGTGTTCATTGTAGTTGTTGCATGTGAGCACTCTCTCAGATTTCAATAAGCAAGGACTCACTCTCAAATGCACTTTGTTAGACTTCCCTATGTATATATGTGTATATATATATATATATATATATATATGCTATATTTGTTAGCAGAAACAAGGTCAAAGTGTGTCAGGAAAAGAAAATTACATTTAAAGTGTTTATGACTTCTTTTGGGAGTTTGTTCCAGGCGCTTGAAATAATCCCTCCTCAACTGTGCTTTCTGTGCAGAGTTTTAACCTTGTGGCTGACACCCAGCTTATGAAAAATCCACCTCTTGGGTTTTGTCCAGATCTTGGCACTGCTCACTTGAACTAGAAGAACTTCTAAATCCCGGCTTACAGAATTTGCTCTTGCAGTAAACTCTRTAAAGATAGTAGAGTTTACTGCAGTGGCTACATTCAAAAATCTGTTTTCCATCTTTACAATGCCTCTGGAGACAGATGTTTCTTGTGCCCAGCTGCTTTATAACTGGATCTTCAGGTCTGCTGTGTGAGCAGGCACTGGTGAATTTGGGGGATGGGTTTTTAGAAAAAAATAAACAATTTTTATACTTCAAACATTCTTCTTCTTCTCCAAAATAGTTTTCTGGTTTTGTTGCAGTAGYAGTCCTGAAGCTCTCTGTTACCATTAAGTTATGCATGTGCTGCTCTATCTCTTTAACAGTGTGCATACCTCATGGTTCTACCTTGCTAATGCAACCTGGATTATGGCGTGCTAGTTTTTGRTACATGTCCCTTTTCCCAGGTACCTCTGTGGATTTAGGAATGTGGAAGGTTGTACAAGAAGTCTCTRGTTAATCTAGAGGCAAACCATGTTAAAAACAAGCTGTTTCATTGGCAAGCTTGTTAAATKTAGAGGTGTCACTGTCCCCTTCATATCCTCAAAGGCCTAAGCTTAAAGGGGAGGTTWTGCCTGCTCAGTGAGTCTTTTAAGTAAAATTGCAGCATTCATGTTGCTAATAAGTATTTTAGGAGGCTACATGGAAGACCAGGGAAGTTTGGAACTTTTCTATCCCCTTGTCTGTTGATAAAGCTCTGACAGGGCCAGCTGATGCGGCAGCGTCAACCGTGATGTCAGCTTCTGGAACAGCAGCTCCTGCTTCCACATCTCGGGACAGGCTGCCTTCCCGTTTAGGTAAGTAAAGGCAGCACRAAGCTGAGTGTCCAGTGCTGTGCCTGTTCTCAGGGAGAAAATTAGCAGTCTAGTCTTCAGCTTTGGAAAATTGGCACATCGATCTTTCAGGAAGTATGGACAAATCTTACAAACAGTGGCACACRCTCACTTCAGAATTCAGTCACATTTTGAAATTATAACCCTTTGCTTGTTTTCCTGTTTTAATTTGAATGTTTTGGAGTATTTAGTATTTAGTTTTAGAGTATTTAGTGGATATTTTGTGACTTAATGGTGAAATTAGTGCTTCTGCTTTTTCAGAATTAGACACTCTAAAAAAGTCACAATAAAAAAGGAAATAATCAGAATAAAGAAAATAAGCTTCTGGAGACTAGCACTTCATTTAAATGCCCTTATTTGTGTGGCGCTCTCTGATGCAAATCAGATAGAAATCTTTCTTAGGCTGGAAGTAAATTTTGCTATTGATTGATGATGTTTACATCAATCTGAATGGAATGTATATTGGCAGGATTTTCCCAAAACCCATAGGTTTTGCAGAAAACAGGAACACTGCTATCAGTCACAGTTACAGAGCTAACACGGCTGTGCATTCACACTTCTGGGACTAGATCTGAACCAAGGACAGCATTTCTCTTTCCACTTAAATTATGTACTCCAAAATGGAATTGCTTAATGGTTAGTTCAGTGTGTTGACTTGAGGTGTGTTCAGTGTGTAATCCTATGAGGTTTAGTAAGTAAAAGGCTTATGAGTGGATATGTGGAAACTTACTTCAAAACTACCACAACTACATTTTTCAGGTCTGAAATAAAAGGTGTTGGGCTGGAACAACCTCGTATGCCTTGTGTCCTGACAGTGGAGACACGCACTCATTCTCTTTGTTTGGGTCATTCGTTGGTTGTGACGTGTTGCTGACAGATGTCTCTGGCTCAGAGAGAGCCAAGCCTGGCCACTGTTCTAGTGCTACAGCAAAGTTAGGCACAGTGTCAGGGAATTCTCTGTAGCTTCAGAGATCAAAGATGTCAATATTCCTTACTGTGAATCAGTAGATGAATTGACCCGCTGCTGTTTTATTTGGAAGTGGCTTGGTAACCGTATTCTGTGCAGCAGTCTCAGTTGGTTTCAGCAATATTCAGAAATATTCTGCTCCTTAATATGGTTCCATGTCACTGCAACACATACACTACTTCAATGGCATACAAAAACCTGCATATTGGATCCACTGAAGCACCATAATTTTTTTTTCTACAATTGTAAACCATTAGGTAGTTCAATTGCCACACAAATTTTAAATTCTGATTATRAACTTAGTAGCTTTCCCTCTATCTGCCAGTGTCTTTCCCCTTATGTAAACCAAGCAGGACTAAATTTTACATTCCTAAAACGTTATACTAACTTATTCCAGCTCCTTCTCRTAATTGTATAGGTTGACTTGTTTGATTTGGTAATGGAGGAGTGATCTTTATCCTGTGAAACCAGACTCACATGCCCAAAAGCCTCAGTACCATCAGTTCCAGGTCCTACTTCAGTCTCCCCATCTCATGCATTCCTATTTCTGGCAGTATAAAAGAGGTAGCTCATAGGCATAATGCTTTTACAGAAAGTTGTTTTTAGCAGCTCAGCATGGGCATGTAATAGAACTATTATTTGATGCTCTGAATTCTTATTTATATTATGCATGTGTCATGAAAATAAATGGAAGAAAATTAAGGGATGAAAATGAAGACCCAGAAGGGGTATGTAGCTTTGCTTAAAAATAATTGGTGTGGGTTCTTCCAGTAATTTCTGGGAGGTTTTGATTTGGTTTTAATAGGAATGGCCTGGTATTGGTACAGTTCTCCATAGTGCTTCCTGCAGCTGAAACCATTCCCATACCTTTTTCTCTCTCCCCAAATAAATTTGTATCTTCTCTTTACATATAGACCTTCAAAGGCTTTCAAATTGCACTGAAGATATAGTTTTAACAARTAATAGGATTGTTCCTATTTCATTTTACAGAGTAAAATTATACAGATCARCTCAAATAATTTTTTGTACGTTAGACTTAATTGAGCTGCTTAATTAACTCCTTGGAATGAGCTGGGACCATTTGTACATTGAGCTACCTTGGCAGAGCTTCCTGGGTTCTTCCTGCTTCTCTAAACCAGGAGAATAATTGCAGCRCCTTGTATAAGTTGCCAAATGACAATGGGAGCTCCGTTCTGAAATGTTTATTACATTCTATCTGATACAGTCTCAAAACACKTTTTAAACCATAAATCAACACATACTTATTTTATCCATTTCAAGTGCAAATATCTGTACACTTTTTCTAGACCACCGTACACATCCTATGAAATGGATTGAATAAGGGCAACATTTTTTTCCATTTACAAWTCCCATGTGATCAGTGTCTTCCTACTTGGTTTGTTAACTTTTTTATGYAGTGTGTTCTCTGTTTTGTGTCCATAACAAAGACTCTCAGATAAGGTCAGAAAACCAAAAATAAATGAGGGAGAGATGATGGATTAAGATACAAAATGTTTCACAGGCATCACCCTTTTTTTGTGTAGCACTTGTGTAATAGCAAAGCTGATTGTGTTGCTAGTTTTGCTAGCACTGAAATAAACCCTGTCCTTTTATATGGGAATGAATTGAAAAACAGCTGGTGCAATTTTATCTTCAGCTTCCCTTACCAGTAATGTTCCAGTCCTCTTGGAGAATGTCTTTTGCTTGATTTTCCTGGGACTGTTGACAGCTAAACTGCTGAGCTCCAGCTGGGATGTAAATTCACCCTTGAACTGGAACAGGAGTCCATTCCCRTAGATAACTAATCAGTCCTGGGCCTCATTCAGATTTCATTGGAATTGGTAACTCATGAGGAAAGAGACCTACTCCTAAATGTCATAGTCAATCCCGCTGTGGTACTGAGGATATTTTTTGTCTTCCCAGGGAAAAAAAGCTTTGGCTAGCCAGCCTTCCTTCACTGTAACCATACTTTGATGAGCTCTTTGAAAGCAAACAATGTGAAGCCAACTCTACTACACAGGGTAATATAAATCCACCTTCTGTGAGTTTTATGTCTGTCAGGCTGGAAGTCACCTTTTTCATATGAGAGATAAGTGGTAGTTTGAGGGAGAATAGGGAGGAAAAACCCTCACGTTATGCTGTGGGACCGTTCTGAAATTCTTACGGGGAAGTTGTGCAAGTCTTCACTGACCTCATCACCAGCTTCCTG